TATATTTACTTGCGATACTTTTCAAGGAATTTATTATTTTATTTTAATCGTCTGTCATTAATTTTTCAAAATAGGCTACACTGGGATTTTCAGGAGATTAGGAGTAAAATGATTCTCATGTACAGAGAAAATGGTCTGTTGTTATGAGGTGTAAAACAAAAACACAAGCTTACTGTCTCATAAAGAAGAGTAGAGGTCTATGAATAACCAAAAGAGGGCCGCCGGTAGCACAGTGGTTCATCAACACGCCCCATGTACAGAGTCTACAGTCCTCGGCTTGAATCCGACCTGCGGCGTGTTGTTCCCCACTCTCTCGCCCTGATTTCTTACTCTATCGCCCACTGCCCTGTCTCTCAAATAAAGACATAAAGAAATAAACCTTCGTAAAAAAAGAAAAGAAAGTATAACCCAAAAGGCAAGGATGTTGTGTATAGGTATGTTCAGGAACATTAGCATTAGCTTGAGAGACCGGAAGGTTTAATGGCACCCCAGAGAATGTCTGCATGTTTTTTCCATGTAACTTGAATCTGCTTTTTCCCACAATGATTTATTTTTGATCAAAATGTTAATCAGTCATATCTGTTGAGCTGCTGCTGCAGGAGCACACAAACATGTAGAGAACATTCAGATTCTTTTATTAAGTGTTTAGTATATTCAGTAACAACACAAACAGCTGTCCTAATTGTGTTTAGAGATCTACAAACTAATTGGGTAAAATCGTAACTGTAAAATACAGGTTTCTTGAGACTTTTTAATCCGAGTTGTATCAACAATCTTTCTGATTTAAAGTAAGAATTCAGGTTAAAATGTGTTCCTTAGAAATCTGAATGATTACAGTACATGTCTGTGTTCATTGAGAGTTCAATCTACTTGTTTGTTGTTGACAGAGCGGCTTTGTGTCCTGCTTTAGAGCGAAGCAGGGTTTGGAGAGCCAGGTGAAGGTGTGCTGTTGGACTCTGCTGGCCTACTGCGTTTGGAAGTGAGTGGTTTAGCCAACACTGCCACCTACCGACCACAACCAGGAACTGTCAGAGACTGAGCGACAGTATGGAAATGTCTGCAGAGGTGGTTGAAGATGCATCATTTTATTAGTAAGAAGCTGGATGATCAGTATGTTACCTTCAGACTATCAGTAGTATTCAAACACCAAACACTGCATGTGATGTCTCATGAACACTTTCCTTTCAGCTTGTAATTGAATCAACATTTAATGTACTGGTAGTTATATTTGTGCAGTTGTGTGTATGTGCTTTGTCTAAATTTTGGTAGCACCTTTATCTACAACAAATAAAAATAGCAACGAAACATTGAATGAACCACATTTATACCCAGAATCTCCATCTTGATCTTACTACTTCTCATTTAAGTCACATCACAGATTTTAAATCTTTGTTTACATCTGTTTTTCTGGCAAAACACCAGCCATGCAGCTACACCTTATCTACAGTGTAGTGCCTCTACTCTAATAAATACATCTCATTAATTTGAAGGTAGCCTGTGAATACTATTAAACACATCAAGACTTCAAAAATGCAGAAGAAACTTTTATTCACATGAACAGCAGACAGAACACTGAAAACTGGAAAACACTTGTTTGGAACGTTACATTTTCATGGCAGATTTTGACAATTTAAGGTTTAGGCAAGCTCCTCCTCGCCTTCCTCCTCAAACTCGCCCTCCTCGTCGGCGGTGGCGTCCTGGTACTGCTGGTACTCTGACACCAAGTCGTTCATGTTGCTCTCAGCCTCGGTGAACTCCATTTCATCCATACCCTCCCCGGTGTACCAATGGAGGAAAGCTTTGCGCCTGAACATGGCTGTGAACTGCTCAGAGATGCGCTTGAACAGCTCCTGGATGGCTGTGCTGTTGCCGATGAACGTGGCAGCCATCTTGAGGCCACGGGGAGGATGTCACAGACAGCCGTCTTCACGTTGTTGGGGATCCATTCAACGAAGTAGCTGCTGTTTTTGTTCTGCACGTTCAGCATCTGTTCATCCACCTCCTTCATGGACATGCGGCCACGGAAGATAGCAGCCACTGTCAGGTAGCGGCCATGACGTGGGTCGCAGGCAGCCATCATGTTCTTTGTGTCGAACATCTGCTGGGTGAGCTCTGGTACAGTGAGGGCCCTGTACTGCTGGCTGCCTCGGCTTGTGAGGGGAGCGAAGCCTGGCATGAAAAAGTGCAGACGAGGGAATGGCACCATGTTTACAGCCAGCTTCCTCAGGTCAGCATTGAGCTGTCCGGGGAACCTGAGGCAGGTGGTAACGCCGCTCATGGTGGCAGAGACGAGGTGGTTGAGGTCACCATAGGATGGGGTTGTGAGTTTAAGGGTGCGGAAACAGATGTCATACAGAGCCTCGTTGTCAATACAGAAGGTTTCGTCTGTGTTTTCTACAAGCTGGTGGACTGACAGTGTGGCGTTGTAGGGCTCAACAACTGTGTCTGATACTTTGGGTGAGGGCACAACGCTGTAGGTGTTCATAATACGGTCGGGGTACTCTTCACGGATTTTGCTGATGAGCAGTGTGCCCATCCCAGAGCCAGTACCACCACCAAGAGAGTGTGTGAGCTGGAAGCCCTGCAGGCAGTCACAGCTCTCTGCCTCCTTCCTCACTACATCCAGGACAGAGTCCACCAGCTCTGCACCCTCCGTGTAGTGACCTTTGGCCCAGTTGTTGCCAGCACCACTCTGGCCTAGAAGAGGGAAAGAAAAGGGAATTAAGCTTCACAGTACTTAAATGCAAAATGAGAAGTAGCTAGGAATGCAAGGACAAATTAACAATTACCAAAAACAAAGTTGTCTGGCCTGAAGACCTGGCCGAAGGGTCCGGATCTCACAGCGTCCATGGTTCCTGGCTCCAGATCCACCAGCACAGCACGAGGAACATATTTGCCACCTTCAAGAAGCATTTTGGACGTGAGGGTAATGTTCACCAAAAACGCCACAAAGTTTATGCCTATTAAAACATCTAATTCAACCTTACCTGTGGCTTCATTGTAATAGACATTGATCCTTTCAAGCTGCAGGTCACTGTCACCGTGGTATGTGCCAGTTGGGTCAATGCCGTGCTCATCACTGATCACCTCCCAAAACTGAAATATAATAAAATAAGAAGACATTGTTGGCTGATCAAACATAAAGTGACAGGGGAATGAGCAGGCAGTAATGCAAAGTGGATGCAGGTCATCATGTATCGGTTTCTTTCATTTTTAAGCGGATGCAGCAGTTCTGTAGAGGTTGATTAGATAATTGTTCAACTACAACTTCCCGCCGTTTAGCAGAACGCCGCGCGGCCTCATCGCCGATTGGCTGCGACTAGCTACGTCATTGACCGCCACATGGTCACACCTGCGGACATTTGTTTTAGATTTACAAAGCATTAACTCAATTTATCAGATTTGTAAATTAAGTAAAATCGATTTATATTCATTACAATTCGACGCATCACAACCCATAAGGGCAGCTCTTGAGATTTTAGGTTTGGCTTAAATTTTAAAGTAACATTTTCATAAGTAGGACACAAAGCAGCACACAGGACGCGGCGTTTCTTTTCTAAAATACATCGATTTCAAACGCACAAAAAACATAAAAAGCTGTACTAACCTTGGCACCAATCTGGTTTCCGCACTGACCGGCCTGGAGATGCACAATTTCCCTCATTTTGTTTTTTCTTTGGTTGACTAACGGCTTCGATTAATAACTTAGAGTGTCTGTGTCTGTTAGCTTGTACCGACAAGCAACCATCTGTTTTATACTACAGCTGAGCCCCGCCCTCTACCCCTCAGCTCGAACGTTGGTTGGCTCATTTTTTTATGATTGATGTACACGAACAGATTTAGACCAATTAAATCGTCCCTGTCTTCTCCACTATTGGTCCAGTGTGTCTGTCAATCACATTCGTGTCAAACGTATGACTACCGTCTAATCTGTCGACGTTGGCCATGACGTTGTGCCTACGTCCCTCATGATGGCGGAAAAGAAACGCAACACCGACAACAGATTTAATTCATTTCACAGCCGCATGCAAGCCATAGACTGTAAATATATATATATATATATATATATATATATTATTTTACATGCAAGCGTGTAAAAATAAAATGAAACTCATCGATCAGCTAATCTTAATAAACTATTTTGACTGTATCTAGTTATAAAACGTCGAGTCAATTTTAAATATTTAAAACAAAAATACACTGTTGGTCTACTAGATATTAAAAAATATTTAACAGCTAAAAAGAACAGAACCATTTATTAAATAAAAAATTTACATCTATAGTAAAAATATATCTTTATATCTTAAACTGTATTAATTAATTTTTCACTTTGATTTGACTGTGATAACTTTTTTGACTCATGACAATTTTAGTTTTTATGTAGCCTACTTATAACTTGGGTTTTAATTAAGTGCTATAATATATATATACAGTGTATGTACTGTATATATGTAAATCTATATATTCAAAAATAAAATTACACACACATTATGCATTGTCTTAAACTGAGAGATCTTCACTTGCTGTTTGACTGCTTTTATTTTGCAATAAAGTACAGACCTTCTGGTGTATCGAAGGTTACGACAATAACTTAACCTCGTAAAAAGAAACTGATTATCATCAAGACACTAATATTGTAAGCAGAATTAATGATTTTTTTAAAGAAAAAAATATGGGGTTTGAAAACAGGACTATGTATTTAATTGGGAGCGCAGCAAGAGACTTTAAAACTGTGTTTGATGGTTTATTGTACCAATATATAAAAAGCATGTAACAGGAGAGTAGTAATTCAATAGTTTCTGGAGTATTCACCTTTTATTTCCTGCTAAGGCTACAACACATGGAATTACTTGGAACATGATTGTCTGTATTAACCCCACTATTTTTGATATCTTTCAAGAATGAGTGACAACACAAAAGAGTGATGATTAAAATATTTATTATAAAAAACAGACATCACATACATAGCATGGTTTGGGTGAAAAGAGACTCAAAAAGACTCAGTCCAGACTGTTGCAGTACATTTAGGGGACAAAGAAGAAGGTTTCTTTCAAATGAAGCCAGTAAACGAGAGGCAGACTGAGCTGTTCATCCTGGCCTTTACACGAGGCGCAAACTGAAAACACTACAGTCACATTTAATGGGGATTCCCACTTCAGAGCTGAGCTTTAGGTCACATGACAACCCCCCTTTGCCTTTTAAAAAGCAAAATACAAAGACAAGCAAGCACACAGAGGAAAACGTGCAGAAAAAGAGCAACTTAATTACATGCAAAAAAGAATAATTCAATGCAAAAACTCCACATTCAAAAAGTAAACTTAATATTTATATACAGGTTGGCTTAAGGGGTCTTCAAGGTTTCATGGTAAAGAGATAAATACAGCAGATTTGGCAACACCCTTCACAAGTAATGACCACTACTGTGAAAGAGAAAAAAAAAAAAACATGCACACAACTTTTAACAATTCTAAACAAAACTCAGGAAATCATTTATAAGACACATCACTCAAATAGAAAAAATGACACATCAAACACAAACTGTTCCTGCAGCAGTAGCATCAACTTCATCTGCTTATTCTACAGACATGAGAGGTATTAGCATTCAAATACTGCACTTCACATCTTACACCATGAACACAACAAAAGACAGACTGACCAAAGGGCTCTTCAGCTGGAAAATAACCATTAAATTTACCATGACTCAGCTGCATGTTTACTAGTAAACAAACTTCATATCCCACACGTCTCTCCCCTCCGGTACACTCCTGCAGAAACAGCAAACTTGCATGTACAATGATCTTTAACCAAAAGAGGGAACCACTTTATCTCATCTGCAAGAAATTTAAAATGTTCCTAGATAATGTGCTAACATCTTCTAAAGCTGTAATGTTATGATGCGTGTAAGGGGAAAAAAGACATAACATTACAAGCAAACATTTTCTTGATATTTAAGGGGGAAAAAAGGGAACATAAAATCCAGAAAAAAATTTGAGAAAAGTGGTCCTAATAATCCATCTTAAGATCATTCAATGGTGTTTCTATCCAATATTTTAGATTGTGAACACTGCACAGCTGCTCTGATCCAAATCATTCAAAATCCAACTTGCACCATGTCGCACACATTAAAATCAAACTGTTACACTAACCGTGTTTACATCTTTGTATAAATATATATTTGATTATATAGTCAGCACGTTGAGTGATTTATCTTTGTCCCTCAATCGCTTATTTTGGAAAAAATAATTGGCAGACATCAATTAAAGGCCAGCTTCAATTCTTGTCTCTTAAACACAAACATTACTATACTTTAAACTCTCACTTATTAATTGATGGGTCACAAAAATAGAACCCAACTTGGAAAAGTGTAGACACAGTTTAAGGCGCTTAATGAACAGTAACATTGACGGACAACATTTTAAGGGCATAAATATAAATTTCATCCATGCCATGTTTGTAGCTCTTAGCAACAGGGCTTAGAGCAAAGAGCCTGGAACCTCGAGCATATAGCTTAGAGTGTGCAGTGGGTCAGTAGCAGCTCAGGTGATAGGTAAGAGCACACTAGTCAGGATCCACACCGACTGCAGGTTTAAAGCCGTAAATACATACAAGACAAATAAATATTAAAGGAGGACCGGTCCATGGCACTGTTTGTATATTGCACTGTGTGTAGTAAAAAGTTAACCAGTACATTACTCAGAGTTCATCTCAGAAGCATTTCCTGAAGATGATCTGCGGTCCGTACTCCTCGTATTCTTCCTGACTGATCCATGCAGAGCTGAAGGTGGGCAGGTTGGCAAGCACTGCTCCTCCCCTCCACACTGAAAAGTCTCTGTCCTTCGGGCTGGTGACATGAACACGCTCCCCTGTGTTAGGGGGAACCAGTCCTTTGATTTCAGCCTGGAGCCGCTCAGGCAGGCCGTCCAGCAGGGTGTTCCCTCCTACAGGAGCAGATAGAAAGGAAACTCAAAACATGACCAAAGAAGTGCTACAAAAAGGGCGTGTACTCACAAACCATCATTTTCATTTTTGTATTTTGGTGTACTGTGACTTTATTTTTATAGGCACTCTCCTCATAGCAGGTCCTCTGGGTTCTTCACATGATGGAACTAAATAAACAGAGTTACTGAAGGGGCACCTCATAGAGCTAACAGGTAATCATTCTATCTTACCTGCTTTCCTCTAACTGCTAAAATAAATAGCAAATGTTCTAAATCTTCACAGCAGGTAAACACACCTACACATTCACACACTGGTGGCAGAGACTGCTATGTGAAGTGACCATCACAAGTAGTTAATCCCTTTCATAGACATTCACACACAGCGGGAGCAACTTTGGGTTACACATTGAACATGTGGCTGCAGGAGCTGGGGATTGAACCCCGACCTTCCAGTTGAGAGATGATCGACTCTACCAACTGAGCCACAGCCGCCCAAATCTATTTGACATGTATCCATTTCAGTCAACAGTAAGACTGCTACTTTGAGCACTGGAGTTTAATTCATAAAGTTTCTAAATATATAGGTTTTAGGATCAAATAACTTTGGACTGTGTGCTCTCTTTTTGTCCAGGGCAGTACGGTCTTTAAAAATATTGATCATTTAAAATGCAGTGCCCTGACATCTGTAGTTGTAATGGGAAACTTGGAATTACACACTATATCACGTGAAAAGATGATAGAAAAAAAACAAGTTTATTATGCAAAGTTTAGCAGGAATCATGTTAGACATACAGTATGGCTGAAAAAGTCTGGTTCTGTTTGAGGTTTTCTGTTTGAATGGCGTCCAATAAGCTGAATTGTTTCAACTTGGAAACTCATTGGTGCCGTCATTGGCTGGGGGAAGCACACCAGCTCCCCGCCCAGAAAAGTGCTGACTCAGCCAAAACATCAAAATCCAGACAGAGGACAGAGTCTCTGCAGACAGTCACCACCACACATGTATGGAGGCCCACAAGTGATGACTGAGTGAGGTATAAGTCTATTTTACTTTATGTTCAATGAAACTTTTGCAAACACATACCACACTATTGTTGAAGTAAAGTACTTGCCCTTCAAGCTCTGGACCAAAGAAAATCACAGCTGGAGTGCACCTTTAGACTGTTGTGTAACACCATAACTAACATCAGCTGTTACCTGACAGCACAATGTTTCCCAGGAAGCAGCGCCGCAGGTCGATGTCCGAGCTGAGGATTGACTTGAAGACGCTCTCGTGTATCCCGTAATGGTCCCGTCCAATGAGCTCGGGTTTAAAGAGAATCTCAGGGGCCCTGCATGAAGAGAGAGGGGCAGATAGAGGAGGATATTTTGAGAGTTTAAGAACATAAAAAAGGCAGTTATACTTTTTTAGTAATGTGCTCTATAAAAGAGGCAGGTAGCCAGTCTGAAGGGTTTGCCTTATCCCGCAGGTGCTGCACATGTGTGTCTCTCTTTTACATTTGGTTTTATCCAACAAGATTGAAGTCAGGATGAGCCCCAGACTTGTGTTCCTCTACTCATGTTAAAATCGGTTTCAGTCGGTCGCTTCAGTTCCAATCATCTACATTCTCTGGCAGAGATTGGTGGGGTTGGATTCCTGAACATTTCGGTTGCAGTTTAAGCAGTTCTCCCAAAGATAAAGCTGCTGAGGTCTGTGTAGACGCAGAAACTGACCACAATTAAAACCAGATTAATCCAAAAGCAGCTGTTTTTCCATGGGGTAATCTGCTATTTATTTTGGGGGACAAAGTTTTAGAATTGCCTCAGTAGATTGTTCTTTCCTGCAGATGCAACATAGTCTATTGTTGCAATCCTTATCTGCATAGGAGCCCGATCAAAGTTAGCCCTCTCTAAGTTTTTGTCTCTGACAGGCTCAGATTGTTACTTTAAGTGTCTCTTCAAAAACCACTAGACTCCATAGACGAAGAAGAGTCATTATTTGACAGAAAATTCACTGGTTTCGTAGTTTGTTTGTGTAACTGTGGGACTATGATGATTTGAATGGTAAATTGATCATTAAACAATGTTTGTGTAACACAAAAGTTTGTAAAATAACAGATTGATTCAGAGGTAGACCAGCAACTCCTTATTCTGCAAAATAATTTGATTTGTCTCCTTGTCAACAGGGATTTTAAGAGAGCGTGGTTGGCTTTTTGTCAACAGGGAATTTAAGAGATCGGTCTTAAATATTACCAAACCACAGCCTAGTGCTCATGTAGCACGCCTCATGTACAGAGGATATAGTCCTTGTTGTAGTGGCCGTGGGTTCAAATCCAACATCGGCCCTTTGCTGCATGTCATATTAACTTGTAGCACTTTAGCAGCAGCAGTGTAGGAGTTAGCAGCCTTTATTGTTTTTTCCCGTTTCTCTCTTGTTTGTGTGTTTAGGAGCTCAGGTATGAAAAACATCACTGAACTTCTGTTTTAGGTTAGGTTAGATTAGAGATTTGATATCTTTTGTTTGTTGTTTTAGGCACAGCTAAACTCTGAAGTCAATTAAACTGCTGCTTTGCATCTGAATTTGACTCATACTGCCTGGGTCACTTATGTTTAGATTCCCCTAAACTGGGAAATGACTAACATCTTATATTGTAAAGAAAGTCAAAGTAAAAAGTAGTTTCAGTTTATATAGTTTATCATGAACAAAGCCAGAACATTACATGTATTGTTCCTAAATGTTTGTTTTGATAGTGCTCTCCTGCAGGACCCCACCTTGTAGATTGAGTGTCCGTCTAAAAGAGGACATAACGTTCAGACGGTTACCTGAACCTCTCTGTGCCGAGTGTGACGATCCGTCCGTCTGGCATGGTGTAATGCATCTCTCTGCAGGACGAACTCCCCCGGTTCAGCTCAGACTCATAGTTCAGAGCGACACAGCAGCACTTCTCCTTCATCTCCCGCACGATCTCCATCTCTGCTGTGGTGCGCATGCACACGCCTTGTTCCTGCAGGAGCTACGAGCACAACAACAGGGAATCATTTAGCAATCAAAGCAGGACCCCAGACTGATTCAAACATCTCATTAATGGCTTTATATGTGATTTTTCACACTTAAATGTAATATAAATCAAGTAATCAAGTGCGTCATGACTGTCTACAATGGGTGTAACACCCGAGTCCCACTGTCTGTGATGTTTTCAGAGTCCTATCTTCAGTTTGTTTACATCGTCAGGACGGCGGCTGACTCTCCCCTCGTGTATAAAAGTTGTTTAATTGAGGGACTAGAGAAAAGAAGACTAACATACTGTACTCACTGATTAACTGTGTTTCTAGATCACGCTCATTTCAGGTAAATTTACATGCAGTGTGAAGATACGAGCATAAAAAGATTGCTAGCATTAGCATGCTAACACAACAATGCACCGCAAGTTGTTTTGGTTTCATGCTGGTGCTCAAGGGCGACATCTGCTGGATCAAAAAAAAAGAAAAATCGCAAATAAAGCCTTTAAACAAACTGTTTCTTTTTACCAGACTGACCCGACGTGACCATCAAAATAAAAAGATGATTATACCTTTTTAAGATGCATTGTAACGTCTACACCAGCTAGAGGGAAGCGCTGCACGGCATGAGGTAGACTGTAACCTTCAAACACAGGCACGCTGTGGCTCACTCCGTCTCCAGAGTCAAAGACAACACCTACACAGTACGGCAAATAAAAAAATCAAAACATTAACACTGAATTCAGGAAGAAAGTACGGTTTAAATAGGGCTGTTCAAACAGGCGGGGAGGACACAACAGAGTTCAAACATATCACAAAAGGTAGCTCTTAAAATGACAAACATGTTTTTGATTGACATCTCGACTAGAAACGTATCCATGAATGCATGAATAAAATGCATACAGAGACATAAATGGAGGGTGTTACCGGTGGATCTCCCGGCTGCGTAGAGTGCCAGCACCGCCTGCATGGCCACGTAGGTGAAGGGAACGCAGAAACACTCGAACATGATCTCCACCATCCGCTGGCGATTCTGTAACGGGTTCATGGCGGCCTCAGTGATCAGAACAGGATGATCCTCTGGATCCACACCCAGCTGCTGGAAAGTGTGATGCCAAATCTAACAAAAAAAGAAACCACAACTTTGTAAGTTACTGAAAAAGATTATACATTTTAACTACTCTGGTTCCCCAAACGACCATTTAGAGTTAGAGTTTTGGTTTTGCAGTTCATTTTGTTATTCTTCCAGTGAACACACTTCATAAAGATCTGACACCACATGTTGATACCAGGTGTAAAGAGGGTCTTTGAATAACTATCTGAGCCTGTTGGGGACAAAAAAAACTTTCAGTAGACATACTTTGATCAGGTGTTTGCCCTGAAGGATTAATTTTAACCAATCACAGCCTGATTCATTGCTGCCGACTAAAACAACCTAATGCAACAATTCCAATTCCTTTCACCCATTAGTTATTCAGACAAAAAGAAAAGGGTACAATCCCCTGTGACAACCACCACATTACCCTGGTGTAAAACGTACACAGAGCTCCACTGTTGCTTTGATACTAAACGGGTGATTCTCAAAGTTTTACCTTCTTTTAAATACATGTTTTGGGCCTTTTTGCCTTTATTGGATAGGACAGCTGAAGAGAGACAGGAAGTGTTAGGAGGAGAGAGAGGGGGGATGACATGCAGCAAAGGTCAGAGGTCAGATATGAACCCACAGCAGCTGCGTTGAGGACTATACCCTCAGTACATGGAGCTCGCGACATAACCGCCAGGCTATCAGCGCCCTGCTTTACCCATTTTCTTAGACTAACTTGGTGCTTCAAGCTGCAGAACAGAAACACATAAATGTCATAGCGGTACATGAGCTCCTCCTCACCTTCTCCATGTCGTCCCAGTTACGAATGATGCCGTTCTTTATGGGATGCTTCAGAGCCAGGACCCCCCTCATGTGCTGAGCCTCATGTCCGATGTATGTATCCCTTTCAAGGTTACCGTTCATGATCTCCTGCAGACACAGAAATCAGAACTTGTAGTGATCAGAAAAGGCCGGTTAGAAGAAAACTCAATATGTATCAGAGAGGGTATTTTAATCTTACCTCATATTTTGGCCTTCCTATAATTGTTGGGAAGATAATATTTGGAAGGTCTTGATCTGCGAAGCCTGCTTTCATCAAACCAGACCCTGTATCCAGAACGATGGGGGTCTTAAAATCTATCATCTGCAAACACAATGAGAGAAATAAATCAATAAATGAAATAACCACTGTTGGACTACACTCCTTTATGAACTTGATTATTAATGGTGCTGATTTTAATGAGCTGTTAACCTTTTACACAGCCAGGCAAGCAGTTTCTACCTACTTCTCTTTTTTTTTGCTCAGCTAACTACCTCCAGATACCAGCTCTGAACTAAACACAGAGACTAACAATAAAGTTTAGGAGACATAAGATAGGCAAAGACGATGAAGATAATACAAACCAAGAAAACAAAAAAGAAAGCAAAGCACAGAAAAAAACAAATAAGAAGAGAAAGAGTAGACAGAGCATAGATAGATACAAACCTCTCTCGTGCTGATATCCAGCTGGGCCTGAATCCCAGGTGTCACAGGACCCGATGTCCTCATGGCGTCTGATCTCTGAACACCGTATGTCAGGTCTTCACTCTGCTCGTCTCTTCTTCTGTGGTTGAACTCCTGTAGAGCACGGTCAGGAGCAGGCTGAAGTGGGATCCCGTCTGCAGCCTCCATTTCCTCTGCGTGGGGCAAATCTGTCTGCAGCAAACATGCAGGTCCAACAGGTGAGTCCTCTTCATCATCAGGGGTTAACTCAGATGATGAAACATCTGGGTCTGCATGGTTATTGTTGTTGTTGTTGCTGTGTTCCTTCATATTAGGATTAAGAACCAAACTGATTTCTGGAGTTAGACTCTCTGGGAGAGCGTCGACTTCTTCATCTCGTTGATCAATCTGCATCAAACCACGATCTGAAGCTGAGGACGGAGCCGGACTCTGCAGCTCCGTGGAAGGAGGAGCTTCTGGTTCTGTGAGGTTATCGTTCACAAGAAGAGAAGAGATTCTTGGTTTGTGCACAGGAGGAAGGTGTGGATGTCCACCGGGGTCAAACGCTCCATCGTCTGGCCTCGTTTGAGGGGTTAAAGATGCTTCTGGTTTGCATATATTATTAAAGTTCTCACCTGATCCGTCCATTTCCGTCCTGTTGGTGCCTTCTTCTTGAGGCTGGATTCCCACCTCTTCAGAAGGCTCCTTCAAATCAGAGCTACTTAGAAATGTAGTTTTATTAGATCCTGTGAGCTGAGCTTCAGAGGGATGATCCTGACATTGGGAATCTTTGGAAACCTCAGGACAGGATTCAGCTTCAGTTCTAGCGTCATCCTGAGCGTCCTGAGAGTCACTGCGGACCAAAGCCGTCCTCTGTGATCTGTTACCTGATAAAATCTCATGGCACAGAGCTCGATCCTCCGTGCTCTCACTTCTTGCCTTCTCCATTACCGAACACTTTATAACCTTTGTCGCTCTGCGTTTGTGTTTCTTCATTTTACACTCTTTGTCCAGACTCTTCTCGAGCTTCTCCACCTCCCGCTTCTCTTTCTCCACCTGTAAGCGGAAAGCCTCCCTCTCTTTACTCACACTCAGGGGCCCGTTTGAATCAGAGGTTTACTCTCTTCTTTGGGCTTTTCTTCGTAGCGTCTGAGCTCTTGAATCTTGAGGTTTTCCTCCATGATGAGCTCATCCAGGACCTGGACTTGTCTGAGCTCTGTTAGCAGGTCTGACCCGCTGGGAAATGTTCCTGCATCTGCTCCAGTGTCAGCGTCTTCCTCAGGAGCTTTAGTTACAGCTGATCTGGGCTCGCTCAGGTTGCCGAGTCCTGCAGGGTCGATGTAATCGTCAAGACCGAGAACTCCAGCTTCAGCCAGCTCACTCGACGACATCTTAAAAAATAAATAAACAAAGTGGGTTTAAAATCAGTCTGTAAACTGTAATTTCACCAAGGATGATATTTGTTTCTGAGTCACAGAGCCAGAGACCGTTAAAACATCTGCTAGAATACTTGGTGAAAATTGGCTTTTAAAAAAAAAAAAAAAAAAAATGTATATTGCTTATAAAGCATTTGTGGTGAGTGTATGGAGTGAGGTCTCTGGGCATGAAATAAGTAACACAGCCAGCATCTGTTTTACATATTTACATTTGGAAGATTGACTGAAGAACACATAACAAGGTGGTTTGAGAGGTGTAATATTTAATATAATAATATTTTTATGGCTTTTTTGTGCCTTTAATGGATAGATAGGACAGTGGATAAGTCGGAAATCAGGGAGAGAGAGAGTAGTGAATGACATGCAGGAAAGGAGCCACAGGTTGGATTCAAACTTGGGCCGCCTGCTTGGAGGACCACAGCCTCCATACATGGGTGGCGCACTAACTTCTGCGCCACCAGCAGCCCATATGTAGAATTTTTAAACAAAAATATCTAAATTAATAAAAAATTGGACTAAATGTTTTTTATATATATATATAAAAAAATAATTATTAGGGCTGGGCGCATTAACTCATTAATTAATTATCGCCAACAATTATTTTATCTCGCATTAACGCAGTTTTTATTATTTATTTTCTTATTGTAAAAGTCTGTTGCTCACTGGCTTTTATTTTATAAAATTCCATCGTGAGCGAGCCTAGTATGTTGCTTACTGCTGCGCATGTCTGCTGCGGCGCTCACAGGAAAGAGGAAACAGTGTTGCCAACTTTCTCGCTAAATCTGGCGACTTTCCAAACTCCCTTGGCGACTTTTTTTGTCAACAGCTACTAGCGACAAATCTAGCGACTTTTTCTGGAGTTATTGGAGACTTTTTTGGAGTAAGAAACTGACGTGAAAGCACATATTGCTCTGCAGTTACTGTCCTCAACGAGCGAGTCAACAGCGGGTGCTGCTGTGAGCCCCTCCCCATTCCAACAGCACTCACAGGCTGTCAGTGTAGGCTCGCACAGCAGACCCAGCTGCAGTCAGAGAGCAGAGAGGAGACCCCACACCACTCTGCGTCCAGACTGCAACCAATGCAATAAGCTTTAGTTTTGTATTTATTTGCTTTGATTACATTGTTTAAGTTGAGAAGTACATTTACAATAAAAGTGCGCTATACACTACTTTTTAATTCATGATTGGCTTTTGCGTATAACAATGCGATTAATCGTGATTAATCACAGGAACTCATGCGATTAAAACTTTTTATCGTTGCCCAGCCCTAATAAATAAAGAGAGAGAGAGAGCGAGCGAGAGAGAGCGAGCGAGCAAGAGAGAGAGAGAATGTATTATTATATTGCATATGTCAAACAGTTATTAAGGCCAGAGAATTCCGTAATTTATAGTTGTAACGGTCCGTGTTTTGTTGTGGCGGCCGCCATAACATACACAACATGTTTATTGTTACCATGGACACACCGGATGCTACGTCAAAGACTGCTGTATAAGGAAGCGTGAGCTGCTAATCAAAGCTGCTGTACTGTTGTATGTGCTGAAAACGTCATTTAAGTTATACTTGGATATATCGTCAGTAAACAATCTTTTCCTCAGGTCGGTTTCACCCGTTCGTCTTGACTACGGTCAACTTGAGAGGCGAGGGGTGGAGTAGCAGAGAGAATCACTCCCATGATTCGCTGCCAGCCTCAATGTCATTTCTTATTATTGTTTTGATTGAGAGCCCCCTTGCGGTGGAATTTACACACTATGCGTTCAACAGTCATTTATATACTGTATCAGAATGTTACACACACCTTACTGTAGGTGTGTGTAACCCCTTTTTACTGGCCTGAGTTAAACATATTGAACGTACCACACCAGGCTGCTCTTCACTGTCCCACAGAGGCCACTGGACAGGCCTGACCTCTGATCTCAGCAGGGCGTCCAGCACAGCCTCCTGAGCCAGGACTTTCTCCTCTTTCTGCAGAGACAAGATAAAGAAAAGATCATGGATCCTCCTCCGGTCACTTGTAATGGGCATCTCATTTCATATTTGATATTTCATAGACTAAACCTCCTCATTAGATGCAGTTACTATAACGTCTCTTTTCTCACCTCCAGTATTTGATCAGCTCTGTCCAGGATCTTCTCCACCTCCATCAAACCCTCCTGCTCCTCCACGTCCCAGTCCTTCAAGGACACATCAATCAAACTGGGGGAAAAAAAAAAGTAAAAGTATCATTAGGTTTCTGTTTAAACTCAAACAAATCAGAAGATGTCAGTCACAAAATCAAACTCTTGAGTTAGATGTTCTTTAACTAAGCACGTTTTTCCTCAATGATTCTGTTGAAACCCATAAGAAACATAACTAGAAAGTTTTGATCTGCTGCAGAAATCATTTAGAAGGTCATGGATTTTAAAATACTGGAAGTCGGCTCTGAGGGGGGCGGACATGATTCAGGATAAGTCACGCAGGCTTGTTTTAAATTAGATAAAAGATGGCTGCTTTTCTTCAGTCTGAAACTTGAAATAACAGTCACAAGCAGGAAATATTCAAACTTTTCTGTAATCATTTGTTTGGACGAAAAATCTTCTGTGCAATTTGCAAACTGAGATGGCCAGCATGGCTGTTAAACTGATACATAACTAGCCAGTTTATTATCCTAAAGAAACCAGTTTTTGTGACAGATGCTTTACCGGTCCACAGAGTCCTGCTCCTGGTTGTGGAGGTCATAAGAGTCCCAGAGGAGAGTGGGGACCCCCTCTGTGCAGGCGGACATGTCTCTCTGCTCTGTGATGGTGCTGGAGAGGATGTTTCTGATCGGACTCAGCTCAGGATCGTCCAGACCGCTCTGTGAGTTAAGGATCCAGTCTCTGATCTGAGGCTGAGAGCTGTTCAACACCTCGGTCTGAGTTGGCTGGTCCCTCAGAGAGCGGTTAGACTCGGAGCCGGGCTCTAAGGGAGGCTGCAGGTCTCTTTTCTGCGGTGTTGCATTCTGGGTAATGGTAACAATGTAAGAGTTCTCCAGATCGTCCACGGGCAGGCTGAGCCAGGGATTAGAGGGCAGAGCAGCCGAGCGCTTCACTTTGATCTCAAAGTTTAGAGACTCCACGCAGACTTTGGGGATGATCTGGATGCTCGCCCTCGAGGAGTTTCCCACAGAGCCAAAGTCAAACTCGTCTCGGAGGTCCTCGCAGTCTGAAACGCTGCAGAGGTTCTCTCTGTGGGTCTGAGGCCGGATCCGAACAGGTCTCCCACAGTCTCTGATCTCCAGCGGACTGCTCCCGGCTCCATCGAAGCCCGAGTCGAAGGAGCTGAGGGAGGCTGGTTTACCCTCAGCCGGCACTACCCCGGCAGCTGCAGGAGACGCTGTGAGAAGATGTGCAGCTTCTTCTTTGACACTTTCACATTTACTCGGATCGGGAACATCCTGATTTGTTCTTTTTGTGTCCCCGTCATTAGAGGAATGATGAACCTGGCCGCTCCGTAACAGCTCGTACTGCCACTGTAAGGCCTGCTGCAGGTGACCCACGGGCACCGGCCCCGATGACAGGAGCAGCTTCCTCAGAGTCATACACCTGATGGACAAACACAGAGGCACTTTGAAACAGGCTGTGGGACAGTGAAAACATGAAGGCAAACAACCTGTGGTGCGTAGATGAGAAGACATCAACACCGTTTCTGCTTGGGAAAAATGTCTGCACATTATTGGTGTATTATGATTTTTTCTGTTGCAATCCATAACTATGATTCCACTGTTCTGATTGCATATTAAAAGCTCCATTTGTTCGCCAATGCATATGGTATTAACAAATTGATCACTCAAATGCATCTCGGGACCAAAAACAGCCAGGTGCAGATTTACTTAAGATGTGGATATCACATGCACTAACGTTCAACAGCTGTGTATGAAACTAGAGCAAAAAGACAAACACCTAAAAAGACACCTTTTCTTACCTCTGAGACATCTGCCTCCCCGACTGCTGCACCTCGTCCTCCGGGATGACAGAGGAGAGGTGAGCAAGGTGGACAAGCTCCTCCAGATCAGGAGAAGGATTCTTCTTCAGGAACATAGATAGTTTGTGTCTCCATGCAGGAATGGTCCCTCTGTTCCTCCTCTGTCTCTGTGCTGTGTCTCCTCCAGCTCCTCCGTTAACCCCCGACAGCAGCTCCTGCAGGAAGTTCTCACAGAGGACCAAATGGTACCAACTTCTGGCCTGTGAGACGACAAGACTGGTTCAGGATTTGCAGCTCAAACACAAAATAAAGAACTGTGAAATGTACACACTGTTCAAGAAAAGGAAAAAAAAAAAAAAAAAAAGAACAGTGCACTCATCAAAACGATATTACAAAAATGGAAATTGTTAAAGTAAGGCTTCCTCTAAAGACAGGTGTACACTGAAGGATTTCAGCCCGTTATAGAGCAGATTTTAAAGTCGGACGACTTGTTTCAGGGCGTTTTCACACCTAGAGTTTGTTTGCTTTGGTCTGAATCACAGACCCGTTTGTTACATTGATGCGTAATTACATCAAGTTTCTGTGTTAACACAGGGACATTTGTTTGCAGTTATCACTGAAGGCAAACAATTCAGTTTGAAAAGGAGGCTCAACTGCAGCTCGATAATAATATGTGTATGTACTGGAGTCACCGAAGGTGCTTATCAAGACAGGTCAGGAGAACATGCATGTTTATCCTCCTGAACCATGACATGCTCATCCACTGAAACCTTTCTGGAGATCTGTCAGGTCAATCTCTACCAAATGAACACAGAAGATAAACCAAAAACAGGAAAATATATACGTATGTCAACAATACATTAAATACATAAAAAACACAGAAGATACCATTGCCTTTGTAAAGGACTGGGAGATCTTGCCTTGTTGTAGTAATGATGAAAGCTGGAAACCGCTCTGAGTGTTTGGAGGATGAAGATGACCGCAGAGTGAAGTTTCTCCTTCAGCCTCTCCAGATCCAGAGCCCAGCGCTCTGCAGGCTGACCGTCACACAGCAGGACCTCCGAGAGCGTGTGGATCACATCTTCAGCACAGCGGACCAGAGCCTGCGGGCGACAGGAGGAGAGGGATCAGAGTTATTTATAGAAACAAGTGAGGGGAACACCAGCATCAAACAAGAGAGAGAGAATAAGAAGTATAACTATGCTGCAGAAACAAGAATGGATAAGAGCGCACATTTGACTGTTCATAGAGACAACAATCTCATCAGGAAAACAAACATCCAGGACCAAGTAAAAAATCTATAGAAAAGCAGGCTACAGTTTACTAAACATAAAGGCATTTAAGTAAATAATCACCATGGCAGGAGTGTGAATGGACGCCTCAAACTCAGACACCAGCCTCGCTGCCTTTGCTGCATCCTGAGCTACGTCGATTTTGTAAGGCTGAAGTTTGTCTTCAAACAGAGTTTTGATCTGCTCAGTGACCTACAAGCAGAAGAAAACAAATTCAGTTTAAAAGACAACAAAGGGACATTTTAACCAATGAAAAACTACTTTAACCTGCGACTGTTATATAATTATATAAAAAGGTAGAACAGAAAGCGACCAAGACTGCAGAAAGAAAGTACGCAGCTCTCACAGAGTTATGGCCAATGGGACACTTTCTGAAATGTTTGCCCTCAGGAGAGGTACAAGGCGAGGTGCATTTGCTTTATGCATGGAACCCTTAGCTGAAAGGTTACAAATAAATAAAACAATAGGCATACATATTGGAGAAAATAGACAAAAATTCACACTTTATGCAGACGATGTGATAGTTTAGTTAACAAATATCATTAAATCTCTCCCAAGATCCGGGGCTTTGTGGTAACATCTACCATGAGGTTGCTCTGAGCCCTCAGAGTCAGAGGTCAGAACCTGCATGTAGCCATAAAAGCCATGTGGAAGCAGCCAATGGCTATGGAAGAAGAAGCATGACCATCCAAAGTAGCAGTACAGGTTGACACAGAGGGGGTGTTTCTGGGAAGTCAGATGTCACTGTTGAGCCCTCCTGAGACATTGTGGAAAACCCCCTTTGTGTCTACCTTCTCCAGTCAGGCAAACTCTCTTACAGGGGGCTTGGGTTTAAATTTTCACACCTTGTGCAGCATTTCCGAAATCTATTATAAAAGGACCCAAGCAATCATAAAAGTAAGGTCATTGCTAAACTTGTACACAGTTTTAAATGTGAGATGGTGTCACTCATTTTCAAACCACAAAAACATTGTGTGTCCACTTTGTAGCATGCATGTCCTGGCTTCAAAAGTGGTCCATTGTTTGATGTCAAAGTATCTCAAACCAGTCTTAGAGACATACAGTTTGCTTGTGCAGTGAAGAAATAAATCAGGCTGGATGTGACAGTCGTCCTGTGACTCACCTGCAGAGAGTCCCCTCTCAGCTGACACACCTGCAGCTGCAGACGGGCCTTAGAAAAAGCCTGCTGCCACAGAAGCTCCACTTTCTCTACTGCAGCAGTGATCCTGCAAATTATGAAAGGAAACATCCTTAACTAACAGCTGGCAGTTGCAATTAATGAGGGTTAAGTTAGCTGAATAAATTGTAAGTACATATCATGAATCATTTTTTCTTCTTCAGGCTCCTACCACTGATAAAGTAAGTCTGAGGGAAGCTGCTTTGTAATCTGTAATCAACTGTTGAACTGAGGCTCGACACATGAATGGGAGCTCCTCCAGGATGTTATGGACCAAGAAATTATGTGTTTATGTTGCAGACAAAATAGCTGTCACACGGACACCAAACTCCGTGCAACACGGTAAGGGGGAAAACAGTGTTTTACAGCTTTGCACCAAAGTCATGTCACCAAAAGTTTGGAATACGTTTTAGCAGTCGACTTTCATACAAATTGTTGCAAAATAAAATAAACTGTTTTTAAATGTCGGGTTGCACAACATTTATTGTTTGCACACTATGTTAAAGCATCAGCCTGGTCACTGATGGGAAACCCTTCAGTAGAGCAGTTTAGACTTTTCTCCTCTTACAGTAAATTTGGCTTCAACTGAATATTTTTGTAACCAAGAAACAAAACAACCAAAGAGAAGAGACAAACATCTCTGGTTCTGTGAGGTTGTGATTTTGATCAGTTGATTAAAATGTATGAAGAGTTATACAACTTTAAAATAACCTCTATGATTGTGCAGAGAGAATACAGACAATGTTTCTTTAACAAAAAGCTCTCTGTTCAGAGCCTTGTGCTGCTGTTGTTGTTGTGTAACTCCAGAGCATTGCAACACTGTAGAGAGGTATGCGTGGTCAATGTTATTACAGAGGATAAAGGCCTCAGAGAGCCGCAGTCCTCCGTACCTGCTGTGGTTCTGCAACATGTCGAAGGCCGTGTGAGTGAAGAGCGCCGTGCCGGCCATTGCCTGGTAGCACGCCTCCTTCTCCGGGTAACGCAGCTTCTCCAGAATTTTCTCACAGTGAGTCAGCAGATCATCCAGCCCCAAATCCCTGCACGGCAAAGAACACAGAAATATTAATTCAGGGGAGTCTGAAGCGGCACTGATGGAGGTCTTCTTAACCATGCTTCAGTTTATGATTAATATATTCCTGCAGCCACAGTCAGAACAAACACTTCCTTCTTAACCTGCAGATTGATGTTATTTTCAACAGACAGAGCTGTAATCAGAGCTTGAAACAGTTTGATATCTGATGAGGATGATGAACTGGCATGATTCTTGCTTTTTTAGGGTTGTATCCACCCAGCTGAATGCGCTCATTGTGAGTCCCTGGATTAAAGCGTCAGCTAAATCACTGTAACGTAATGCTCTTCTGCCTTTGAATGAACTCGTGTTTTTGTTTTTTCGACACAGGTTATTCAAGTTCCTCCTGTGTTCACATTCAAACCCTGAGAAAACCGTCACTACAAAGCGAAGGACAAAGACAAGTGAGTGTGTTTCCAGCCTCTCAATGCTCTAATGAAGATTCATGTGCAAAAACTCAAATCTTAACAAGAGGTTTATTTTGTCTAATTTGAGTGTAAAATATCGCATTCCCCTAAAATTCACCGGATTCAAGTCCAGAAAAAAAAATGTCTTCATCAGCTGATCAATTTCCCTTTAAAGTCACTGCAATTCTGTCTAATCCCGTGGAGTAGAAGAAGAAGGACATCCTGACCTCCTGAGCTGCTGGAACTTGGCTTCATTGGTGCAGCTGAAGTGCTGGAGCTCGCTGAGGGTGGAGGGCAGCGGCAGCCTGGACAGAGCCTGCAGGGTGGAGATACTCGAGGGCAGCCGCTGGACCACAGAGAGGAACTCCTGAACAAACAAATCGATCTCCTGCAGGACAGAGAACAGCCACAATTTAAAAGATATCATTCAAATAATGAGAGCAAAGGGTCTCATTAGGGGCGGGAATCGAGTGGAAACTCCTGATACGATACTGGATACATGTCTCATGGAAACAAAAGTATCACAATACTGCAATGGTTGATATATTACAAGACAATCTTACAATGATAAATCATGATATCTGATCATCTGTAGAACATATGCAGGATTAGGGTTTATGCATTAGGGTATTTAATCAATACAATTAGGTGTCAGTTTTTATCCTTAAACATTTTCTATGGCTGTAAGACTTTATCCAGCTGTTTTCCTCACTCTTCTATTACCCAACTATCAGCTTCTTCTTTTGGCAGTTAACTGTAGTTCCTGTTACCCTCACTTTTGTCACGAGCTCCACCATGTGGAGTCACGAAGTAGTGACAAGACGAGTCAAAATGTCTGGGTCATCGGTTTAGAGCGCTATATTTTAAAAATATTGGCACTAGCGTTGACTGATGATATTGTTGGTATTTCTTTATATCGAATGTACAGACAGAAAAATAACATTAATAACATCATTGCTTTACTCCAGTAGAGAACTTCGCCTGTAGCAGTGACACAGGATGTGATTTCTTACTTTAAGGGAAATGCTCCAAATAAAAACATCCATTAAGAATTTGAATTTTTCCACTGACTGACTCAGATTGTTGTTCTAAGTATCTGTCCTGCACGGTTCATTATGTAATGTTGTCAGACCTTTTTGTGATTGCAATGTGAGCAGGGTTCATAGAGGCAGGATGATCAACACCTCCACTAATCTGCAACATTAAATGACTGTTTCTGTCAATGAAGTTTGGTGGCTTTGGAAAGAGTGATGCAAAATCTTTTTCTACAACCTTACTTCTCAACAAACTGGCTTTCTTATTTAAATACTAGAACATTTAGTCGACACAGTTATCTGCCCCCCAAGGATTATGTTACAGCTTGTTTCACTGCTGAAGACAAAAGCAACAATCTCTTTTTTACTATTACTCTGTTTTTCTTATATTTAGATAACATCCTGCTGAAAAATATCTCAGTTCCTCTCATTTTGATAGATGATATATGCTAGGGCCCAACAGATTGTCCAGTAATTCCTTTGAAGCCAGCGGTTAGAGTTACATAACATCCAGACAAGCCTTCCTTATCCATACGGTGTTTAGGACTCTGTAAACGCCTTCATTTTTTGGTGCACAACTTCACAGAGCAGTGCCTGTTCATCCGTTGAGTCTCAGTTCAGCAAAAGAATATAAATTTCAGAGCTCCGCTCATTTTTCATTTAGAATATGTAAACAGAGATTAGGTATCACATATCTATGTACACCAATCCCTCAGATGTATGAAAAATGAGGGCTCAATTCCCTGAATCATTGTTGTGTTTTATGACTTTTTGAGCACTTTTTAAAATGTGTTTCTTACTGTAAGGCTTCACTGATTTGTGCTCCTTCCTAAAAAGCCCAAACTAGGTCATGTGGAGATTGTGTCGAAGCATCCTAAATGGGTCTTCCATAGAATAGAGAGCAGCCACGGTTAATGAACACTGTCATCGCAGCCAAACGATCCCGTCCAACATGACTGAATATATAATGTGACGGAAAGAGGGGCTCCTTTCACTTGCTAATAAGGTCAGCTGATTACACGAGACGTTCGCTGAAGCTTCACCAAGGTAACGAACAATAGACAAGGCCCGCTCGGACGGATCTCATGAATGGATTTACAAATGAACATCTCCTGACCGAGTGAGCCCATCACGCTGTCTGTCACAAAGAGGCAGAGTGAGGAGGGAAAAAAAATACTCTGGATGCACTTCTGGATGTCTAATGAAGAGGTTTTATTTGTGGACTCCTTCAGACATAAACAGAATAACTGTGTGTGTGTGAGAGGACAATGTTAGCTTGTGTTCAAACCCTCTGACTGATCATAAGACAGTGTCACGGCTTTGGCTTTGATTTATTCAGATAAAAGACTGTTACACAAACACAAATAGCCCCAACATTTGATTTATGAAGGCTATGCTCAATCAGTTTATTCGGTATGTTTTTTTTAAATGGTGTTTTTGAAAAATACAGTAGAACACTGAGGCAGATTGTAGTTTGAAACTCATCCTGCACCTCCAAGTTTTAAGGGGTTGTTGTTTGCATTATCTTGTTCAAAATTATCCCAATTAAACCTTTACAGCTGGAGCAAAACCGTCAAAACTTAAAAGATTTTAGCAGAAGGAAGGAAGCATTCATGGGTACGACAAGAAATGTTATCACAATTAGCTAAAGTACCCATGTAGTTGCTGTTGCTGGTGGACGGAGCAAGAAATCTTTAGCATCGTTCAGAAACTTTTTCTTCATGTTTCTACATTCAACACGTGTTTTCTGATGGGAGTTTGTTTTTTGTATAAAATAAAATCGGCTCTCCATTAGTGCTCACAGGATTGTGTTGGTGCATGTGTGTAGCACGTCTCAACAACAGAGTGAAACATTTTAATATCCCCTCAATTAATAAAATATTTCTTCTTCATACCCTCTACAAACTAGTACCCAATTTAACTAATTATTTAGGAAAGATAACTAGCTAAAAATGTCATGTTCAACCTCAGTTCATATCAATACAGATCCAACATGTTTCTGCTCAATATACTGCTATAAACAAATAGGAATACTTCTAGTTTCCTTGGAGTCAGTCAAACGTAGAGCTTTTGATAGAGTTTAATCATCTTCTATAAAAAAAAAAATTACCTTAATGAAGGCGACCCAGCTGTGATGACAGTAGACGAGATAACCACCCAGAGGTGCCGTGAGCTGGCTCCTGTCGATGTAGTTCGAGAGCTCTGAGATTTCTTTCAGGAGGACTTTCTGCAAAAGGATTCAATCAGTGTTGTTTTTTAAAATGGAGCCAATATTGTTGCAAACTACTAGCAAATAAATCCACAAATGCTACAGATCAATAAATGTGTACACAGTGAACTATGTGAAGGTTGATTAAAAGCACTTGTCCATTCAAGACAAAGAGTGACCTGAGAGGTAATCCTGTGAGCCTGAGCCCAGGGCAAACAAACCCCCCGCCACACACACTTATGGGTCCTTCACGGCAGAAGTGTAAACAGACAGTCAACTGAGAGGCACGACTCAGTTGAACCTAATGTTTTGTGTATTTGAAGCTCAAACACTTTAAACTTTCAGCACCTTTAGTAATTATGTACATATTTACAATTTGCTCTACACATCTGAGCGTCTGTGTACGCATTTGCAAATCGTTTTGGAACAATAATCGCTCCATAGTTTTTGTCCATTCACCTTGAACGAGGTATTGTAAGACTTAGATGGAGACAGAAGTTTCAGCAACAGCTTCAGGGCGTCCTTTCTTTTGGGTTGAATCATGTACACGCTGTGGACCGTGCGCTTGTGGAGCTGGAGAAGACATCAAAGACTTAGCATGAAACAGTTCAACAATATTATAGTGTACTGACTTAAGGGACTTTCAGATAGGATGCAGTGTGTGCTGCGCTCGCCGCCGAGTAGGGCGCACAGCGGAGGGGAGCACACGTTGCTAGGTGACAGAAACAATAGTCGGTAAAAAAAAAAAAAAAGGTACTCATTGGATGCACAGTTTGTTTGTATCCGTCCACTATTTAGTTAACGACCCAGATCTTTCTACTGCTGAGGAGGAGGCAAAAGAAGCAGCAAACCGTTGCACGTTGCTTTTCAAATACTGGTAGGTGTTTAAACTAGAGCTCAGAAAAGTGAGACACCGTTTGTTGTAATCTTGTGATCTTCCCTACTAGAGGACGTGCAGAGGTGACATCACGGAGCGCTGCGCCCTAGTTGAAAATTTTTCAACGAGACGGCAGACATGCTCTTGTGCGGAGCAACACAGACAATGAATGGGCTTGACAGCAGCCACCGCATCCTATCTGAAAGACCCTTTAGAAATGGTTGTTAATGCTGCTGAATCAGAATAAAAACAAGAATATACTACAAAGTTAGGGGACTATCTGTTTAAAAACAGCACAGACCATGATACTGCTATGGCTTCAAAACTAATTTTACACCATGTTTTATTTTTTTTATTCAGTTGAAGATGTCCGGGTGTGTTGTGGATGGTGTTGATAATATGGGCAACAACATATAAATGAAAGGGTTGAAAGGATCAAGTAATCCAACCTCGGATTAGTGAAAACATCAATGTTTTCACCCCCTCCTACTCAATCAAGTGACTTTTCCTGAACATTTTCTGCCATGCCTCACTCCGACTTCACACAGAAACTTTACGAGGGAACGGTCAGGAAAAAGGCAGGGTGCAAAATGTGGACCTTTGCGTTCACACATGCAAGTCATCCTGAATATACAGGACGTTTTTGCATTCATTTGTGAAAACACTGATTGTTTATCCATGAATGCATCTTTAAAATTAAATCCATCAGGCTCTGACAAACTAAATCCCAGTATCATCTCCAGTTCAGATAGACTGCCACAGACATAAACATTACAGAACCGCAAGCAGACGTTTTTCACCGCATGGCATGTTTGTAATTACAAAATAAAAACGTAGAAAAGTGTCGGTATGCAGGCCAGAAACTGAAGACTGAACCACAGATACTTTGTAAACCTTCCTCTGGAAGAAATGCAGCATCCCCCTACACAACAGTGCTCATTTCATGTCATTTCACTGAAGCTTTTCTATTAAATAACACAAGCATGTGACCAGCTATGCATGTGACCCCACCCCTCCCCTCACACACACAGAGGAATTCCACGATAACCAGAGATGACGCACTTGGGGTTTCATTTTGAAGATCAGACTCCATCTCTCTGAATTCATAAAGCAAAATGTTGCATAACTTCATCCTGCAAGAAAACAGATCTGATAGTCAAGAGGTCGATCACAAGTTCATGCGTCTCTGTGCAGAGGACTACACAGAACAAACCCCAAGCTGCTGCTTCAATGTGCCTACAACAAGAACTTCAAACTGTGTGCAGGATTAATACATAGAAGTTCTGCAGCAGAGAGGCAGGCTGCCTGCAAAGAATGGGACAGTATGTCTTTAGTCTTCGCCAAAAGGAAATTATAAAAAGACCCAAAAAGTTGAGCTTCATCCAGCAGTGACCGAGACGTTCTTGTTGGTAAATCAGATGAGCTGCATCTCTGGAAAGTTACAGATGCCATTTGTTAAAACTCAGCTTCTTTGTCGTTCTGTCGTTCTGCGTGTTTAACACAGCATTTGTGTTTGTAACATGTCCTCCCTGAGTCAAAAAAAAATCCAAAATGGTTTTCACCACTATATGAGCATCAATCTGAGGGTAGCTTATCCCTGCTGGTTTGAGGTTCACCTGAGTGCAGCAGAAAGATGAAAGCATGCCCAGTATGCTCCAGCCTCCAGCCAATCAGTAAAAGTATTCATGCAGAGCACGAAAGCACTGCTGGTTTAAAACCATGTCTTTGACTCTTCTATGTGTTATTTTAATTAAATGCTTAAATTGCTTTATCTATGAACTTACGATTAATGTCACAGTCCTAAGTCAGAGTCTGTACACAAATCTCCAGAACTTACAAGCAGGAAGTTATTTCACCTCAGCATGCTGAGTTCAAGAAAATGAGCACATAAGAAAAACACTAAGATGTTCTGTTACAGAAAATATACATGTGTGACTGTGTTTATACCAATATAGCAGCTAGAATCTAAGACTCAACTGAATGTAAAATCAGGTTGCATCACACACTTAAGGAGAAACTTCATATATTTGTCTCTCTAATCTCAAACACTCAAAGCCTGATCTGAAAGTTAACAGGACTTTGAATGACCATGACCTGGATGATTCCAGCTGCTTTAGTGTTGCTCGACACGCAAAGATGAGAAAATGTTAACATATTGTCTGCTCTTCACCAATACCTGGAGATGAGATTGTACCCGTTAGTTGTCTGTCAACAGCAGCATGTAAGCTAACGTTAGGCTCAAGACTGGAACTTGGAAAATACAGACATATTTATCCAGATTTTTAAACAAACACAGCTGGTATTATACAGGCTTCACCTGTGAGTCAGTGTGCAGTTCCGGAGGATTAATACTTGATCTAAAAGGACCTTAGAGTACCAGATAATCTGGGACAAACAACAGTGCCAACAAAAGACCCAGAACCAATTTCCCCTATGATTTTTATGAGGGCTGATTAAGGCCTAAAACTTCAGACTGATGCATACTTCTTCAATGTTCTTTACAATCAAATATGTTCTGTGTGCAGCGTGCAATGCATGAACTGGGTGACACATTGGTCGGAGACGTTTTAATGCAGGGGGAGAGCCTGGAGGTAACTGTGTGTGTTTTAACTGGAGGGTAATCCGGTCTCTGGACAGAATGAATGCTGTGTTAAAGGAGCAATCTGTAAAATATCTGTTGAATTAAATCCTAAAATTACCTTTCTATTTCATCATGAAGGTTGGTGAAGTGCTGGCTTGTATGACAAGAATGCAGCAGCCAGTATATCCTCCTCTGAATTTCGATTCCTGTCCGAAATGGTCTGTATATGTTTTGCAGAAAAGTAGTGGTTTTCAGGCACCCCCAACACAGCCGTTTCTGACGCTCCTAGGCAACAGGTGATGCAGCGATAGACGTGGGCAAGTGCACTGCGGTTTGCTGCTGCCACAACCAGGGAGGATAGCGTTCAAGATGGTAGGCTGAGTTTAGCATTTTCACTTGAATGGGTTTCAAGATGCACAATCAGAGCTACCTTGGTATGACGAGGCTTTGCTACCTACTATGGTTCTACAAGGAAATCATCACCACATTTTTTCCCCCCACAGACCTATACAGATAAAATCTCTAAAGCCCTATTCACACAAAATTTCAGCAAATGAACACAGCAGGTAATAGTCAGGAAAGTTCACTGCCAGCGAGTGGGCAACTAGTGCCATTGTCGTGCATGTATGAGGCCGCTTCATTATGCTTTTTTTTTGCTCGCACATACGTTCATCTCCACTCTTTCTAGACTGTGGATATATCCAATCACATGTTACATTGATATCAAGGCAACATCTGTCATCGTGGTGTCATCAGACTTTGATGCTCGTCCCCATCTTGGGCCCTCCACATGCATTTCCTTCTCTCTGCAGGCTGTGTTTGGGGCTGCACAACATCCCAACTCACCAGAAAAGATGCTAAAAACATTTGTTTGTGAGGCAACTTCCATTTTAAAGAAAGAGGAACAACCTCTAAGTCCAGTTTCCACAGTCTACATTCTTTATAAAAAGGACAACAGATATTATGTGGGTAATCTGGCTTCACAATCAGTATGCAATAGCTATTCAGAAGTAGAACAATCTCTGGAAACATGCTTCAGATAACTGTTCACACCAGCTCCACACACTGAACTCTACAATGACGATACCTCGAGCAGAAGCAGCGTCTCAGCGATGAACCTCGTCGTCTGGAGCGAGGCCTGCCGCAGATCAGCCACCACCGATACCAAACCATCCTTCTCCTGCTTCTTACTGCGGAGAGAGAACAAGACAACCATCAGTGTTTCATGGGCTTGTCATAGTAACAGAATTTCAAATGACTGTGGTAAAAATCAAACAGTATCAAAACCATGGCAACAACATCAGAAGTCCAAGGCACCAAATATTGAGGAGAATGTTTAAATTACAAAATTTGCATGCAAACTCCTGCATCCCCTTCCGAAGTTAAACGAATCTGTTAGCAAAGGTTTCATACAATTGAGCCAGCGGTCGGTTGCTCTCTCTCTCTCTCTCTCTCTCTCTCTTGAAGGCAGCTTTTGGTGGGAAACAGTAGGGCTGCATGATAAACTGCAATTTTATCGTTTGGTAATGAACATATCAGAAAAGTCTGAATTTTGTAAACAAGCAACCCTTTCTCACTCAGCATGTGTACATTTCACCTGTTGAATGGAGGCCTGTATGTTTTGATGTTGTCAGATGAAGTGCATGTTCGCCATCAGCTACCGGCAGATTATTTGGTGCCATTTTAGTGGATTTGACTCGAGAGAAATACACTTCAAAAATAGCCATTAATAAATGCCAATACAGATTTTTCAATTGAAGATTATTTATAACATTTCCTGTATTTATCACAATATTATAGCTAATCACGTTTTCTCACACACACAATAAGAATAAATAGTCTGACTCCACGTACTTGTGCACACACAGAAAGTAATTTATGAAGTCCACCACTTCTGCTTTGCTGAGATCTGAGGAGAGTCGGTCTTGTGCGTCCACCGGGAACATGATCAAAGGGCAGCCGTGTTGATCAAAAGCACCTGTACGGACAGGTAACACACATCATCTCACATGTGCAGACGGAGACAGACTTCCTGGCTGAAGATGAGAGACTGGTGTGGCATCAGGTTTACATAGCACATAGCTTTTAGGTTTAAAATGATAGTTTGTTTGTCTCTGAGTTAATTTTGATACTACACAATATTAGGGGTAGAAAATAAACAACACAAACATAACAAATCAAGTTAAGCAGCTGACCAGCATCTCACATGTTCTGCAGGGTAAAGCTACTGTTTTTTTAATGGAGTCTGGTGGCTAACAGGGAACATATTAAGATCTGTTTCATGGTTTTAAAAAGCATCTTATTCATTAACAAAAAGAGTCTCTCTCTGCAGGGATCCTTTCTGTAATGTTGTCACACTTAGAAGCCTATCAGTGACATGAACAACGTTTAGTGGACGTACTTTGGATTATGTTGAAACCATTACAACGTGTTTCACTGCAGCAAATCCTCATTTTAAACCCAAAATCTGTCCTAAGTTTAGCAATACTGAAAAACCTTTAAAGGATATTTTACTCCAGCGTTTAAGGCATAAGGGAAATTAGGCAACTATTGTTCATATATTTGTTATTTAATCCAGAAAGAGTCCCCCTTTTTATATATTCTTGTTCAGGATAATATTTGTAGCGTGTTAATATCATCTCTCTCTCTACTTGAATACATTTACAGGTTAAAGAATGAACAACAGAGTGCACTTTCGCCTACCAGGGAACAGCACAGCTCCGGAGTTGAACACATGATCCGCAGGCAGCGGTGGGGAGGGGGCACACTCCTCTGCAGACTCCTGCACGTCTGGAAGGATTTTTTGGGGGGGGAAATATGATTATTTGGATTGAAAACACGCCCGACAAGAATTTCCTCCTTCCTATGTGACCTCAGGAGGAACCGGGTCCAACAAATTCCTCCTCCAGCAGCTCAGATAAAAGTTGAGCTGCAGCCTGGAAAGTCACCAAACTGTGGCCTACATTTATTCTTATTTGATATGCGAGAGGAGATGTCGCCTACCTGCACAAACAAACACAAGTGACGTGCACTTGTTACCTGTCGTTTGTCGGCTCATCTTTAAGTCCTCATTCGCATTTTCCACAAAGTTTTCCTCTCGCAGTGTCCCAACGAACCACGTAGGATCCCCACACCAGACACCTGAGCTAACACGGACCGGTTCCACTGCTGTGCTGGAGAACTGGACCGGGAGGACTGCGGCTGTTCTCAGCTACTGTTCTCCGCCATGTTGCGTCCATTCACAAGCTGACGAGCAGAGCAAACCCCGCTGGTGGATGTTGTTCGGTTCATTTATAAAGTAAAGAGGGGCGGAGACAGCGGAGGAGGACGGACAGCAGCTGGGACCAAACCCCTACAGTCCCCCCCCACAGTGTACGCAGAAACCTGAAGGGTAACTGGGCCATCGTGTCTGCGAAGTCCCCGGGTCTTCTAGTATGGTCGACCATTTTCGGATAAGAGATTTAAGGGAAAAAAGACAAAGCATCGTTAATTAAAAAACAAGACATGGCATATAGGACATTACAACATTAGGATAAAGGCTAAATAAGTCAGAATTCTAAGATACTCACTCAAAATGATGTGATGAAAAGAAAAAATTGAGGATTCAAGAGCATTTTATGAGCAAAAAAAAGTCAAATGAAAAGGTAAAATGTCAAAACCTGAGATAAAGTAATTATGAGATATTAAGTAGAAACTATGGGAGAAAAAATCCAAAATTATGACAACAACATGATAATTATGAGTTATTAAGTTGAAATTATGAGATAAAGAGTCAAAGTTATGTCATGAATTGTCAACATTTTGAGACTGAAAAATGAAAGGACCCGTATATGATAAAATGCCCAATAATATTTCTGAGAAAAAAAGTCAAAAAACATTAAATAAAGTCATAAGTCTCAAATATAAATCAAATAATGAGATAAATTCTGAGATATTTCAACATATTATGGAACAACACATTACCTCTAGAAGCACATAAGACACTTAAAATCAAGACAACATAAGACGTGCTTGAAAAACAGGACAGCAATAGTGTCCACCAGGAAAAGCACATAAGATACCTTAAAGCAGGACAACAACACAGGAGACAGAGGCCGACATTAGGGCACGATAGCATGTTAATGTAGGATAATGAGATCTAACAAGGCACATGCAAAACCCTTATAGTAGAACAACAACAGTACATAACAAATAAAGCACAGTGTACGGTCAATAGTTCATTGTCTTTTAGCCAGGATGTAAAGTCCTTCTTTTAGCATGGAGGACCCACTGGGGTCCTGGGGTGCCCTGCAGCAATAGAAGTGAAAACAAAACAAACATAAGAAGAAGAAGATATACTTTATTAATCCTGTGAGGGGAAATTCAATGTTACACTCTGTTGATGAACATGCTACACACACATAGGCTGAAATACATACACATGCACAAACAGGATGGACATGCACTAATGGAGAGATGTCTGAGTGAGGGGGCTGCCCACAGAGAGCGCTCCTGAGCTGGTGGGGGGGTTCAGTGCCTTGTTCAAGGGCAACTTGGCAGTACTCAGGAAGTGAACTGGCACCTCTCCAGCTACCAGCCCAACTTCCAGACTTGGTTCGCACCGGGACTTGAACCGGAGACCCAAGTCCCTACAGACTGAACTGCCAGCCCCTTTAAACATATACACAGTTAAAAATGAACAGCATAGAAAGTGAAACATGTTCAAACTTGCAAAACATGTCCATTTTAATGATTTTAATTTTTTTTTTAGATATTGATTATATTATCAGAAGAATCTTAAATAGTCATAATTCAGGCCCCCATACACTCCAAACAGGAACCTGAAGTGTTCTTATCTCCGTAGCACGGGAGATCTTAACTCTCTGAAATATTTCAGATCAGCTATCTTAAAAACAAATAGTTCAGGTCTCTGAGGCTCTTCAGCTCGCGGCTTCATATTCAGTGTAGTTTGGGTGAGTTTTCATGTTAAATGATTTCACAGAAAGAAAACATAAAAAGCTCAACAGAAACGTCACAGCCCAGCGACACATTGTTTGTTTGTTTGTTTTTATTAAAGGAACAAACATCTGGGGGATTTTAGTAAAGTCAGTCTCGAGAGGTTTACAATTCTTAAGTAGGCCTTCAAAATCTACAGAGACTATGTGCCACCTTTAAATAGGCCTATTCCTTTTCATACTTTCAGTAAGTATCCATGACTACAAGTACTACCTGTATCAGTTAATATAATTAAATAAATGACTTAAATTATGATTAAGACGTAAAACAAAATGAGGCAACCGTTTCCTTCTTTTGTGAGGAGAGTGACTCAGGTCGTTTACACCTGCAGGCACTTCCTGTTCAAACAGACAAGTCTTACATTAGTGTTAATAAGTGGACTGGTCTGACTGCATACCTGCAGGAATGTCATTCTCACAGATCCTTTGTTTCTCTGAAGTCATTAACTCTCACCTGAGGGAAGATCTCCTGCTCTGTATCAGCGCCAGAGAGCTCAATTAGGACAAATCAAACAGGTGCAGGTGTGTAGATGTGAAACACTTTAATGTGATGTGAAATAGATCAGATGAGTGTTTCAGATACAAAATACCAAAATCATTTATATGAGAGATAAGTTCAAAAAGTTCATGTAAGTTACACAAATACCTACATAGTGACTTTCAATAATTTGTAGGTGCAATTTTGTGAAACAGGTGATCAATTTAGTAATTTTGCTCACACGTTTTACTTGTATTTGTTTCTTGCACCTGTTTTATATATTCATTCTCCAAGTTAACAGTGAAGTAACTTGCACATGCATCTTTTAAAATAAACAAACGTGCGTGAGGATTTCTAATTTGCAGGTGTGATCTGCATCAGCATCGTTTTTCAACCCTGGAGGTTTCCGCTTGATTTGGACTTAACTTTCAAGCTAATGTTATGTTCGAAATAATTACTGCAAATGGTTGAATGAGCATTAGCTGTTCTCTCAGGGGAGCTAAGGAGCTATCAAATCTGTTGTAGCCTATTATACCGACTAAACAATAGAAGTGGGGGAAAAAAATCAATACAGCACAGTATCTCGATATTTTGCATGGCTATATTAAATTGATCCATGGCTGCCAAGTATTGCTATTTCTGTTATAACAAAAGTGCTTTTTTAATTTGCACAATTGTGAAGGGGTTTCACAATTTATTTGAACAAGTTTCCTTGTTAAAAAGGACTACAATCATCCAGTCATCCAAACATTTTTGTGTTCAGTTAAGTTCCATGAGACTGAAATATAAACAGTTCAGATTGTGAGGTGCATGCAGCCTTACAGGGTTTAACTTTTGTTGCTGTTTTTTTAATTGCAATAAATTGTAATGCAATTTTCAGCATATCGCTTAAAAATGTTTAAAATCCCAATAATGTCGTATCGTGACTCAAGTATTGTGATAATATCGTATTGTGGGGCCCAGGCCTACTAAACCACATATTTTAAAGCAGATTACTCTCCAGATTTCCGTCCAGATGTTTCCTTTTTTAATGTATCAGTTCATTTTCTTTTCGTAAAATGATAACTTAAAGAGTAGACTATTCAGATAAGTAAAAAAACAAAAACAAAAAAACAATAAGCTGGCATACAGTAGCAGCCTACAACATGAAACAGAATATTAGCTTCCCACCGTCAGTATAATGTAAGAGAAAAAATAAACTCCATACCTTAGTCTTTAGCCTAATTATTATTTTCGTAGGCTATATTTAACACTTAAGACGTCTGCCAAACTATAAAGAAAACAGAAATATTCCATTTAAATAAACTATTTCCTGTTTTAAGTCTTCTGTGGTCACTTATAATGACGTCTTCTTAATGATGGTTGAACCGTTCTGTCCTTTGTGTATTAATAATAATATTATGATTATAATAATATTGTGATTTATTCTCACTAATTTTCTTAGAGTCAACAAAGCTCAGTGTGAATCATTTCTTGACTTGTTGAACCTCCTTTGTTTCCTCCTGCAGGTTTCTGTCACGTGTTCACCTTTGTGACACATTTCGTTCCATCATTCAGATTCTTGGCACATTTCAGGTTTACCAAAAAGAAACAAACAGTGTGCTCCACTGTGTCTCTTTTCTCACATATCTGGGTCAACTTCACACATGCAGGAAACAGGGCTTAGCAGAGGTTTCCAAAGCCAAGCCTCGGGCATTCAGGGACATATTGTCTTACAGCATGTTAGCATGTTTTCTACAATATCTTTAAATATGAATGAAACTGTGGAAATAAAAAAGAGGGAGTAAACCACAGAGAGGTAGAGAGGGTTAAGGAAGGTGAACAGGAAGGTGCTCAGGATTTTAAAATTGTATTCACTAGAGAGAATCCGAGATAACCTTTTTTTTTTAACAAAGACACACTGATGATTTCGTATTTTCAAAGTTTTCTTTTACTTCTTATTTCAATCCATAACTTGATGAGTTATTTCGGTTGTAAATATCAATGAAAAAAAACTCTTATTTTGTTGTATATAAATAAACACTTACATGACAAAATACAAAGATCCCTCTGTGCAGAGTTAAGTTCAGGAACTTTAACACCGCTCCAGAGGAAGACAGAGTTTGTTTGTTGTGTGAGTTTGGTAAATTGAGATTAAGATCATTTTCTAACTCAATATTAACATTGATTTCTTCTGGTGAGATGAAAATGAAACAACTTGAGTTGTGCTGTACATGAGGAACCTTTTTGTAACAGATTTTATCTACAAAGCCTGCTGGGAGGAAAGACAGAATACACTATTTAAGACTGAGCTGTAAAAGGAGCATGCAACTTTGTAATGTTATGAATTGTTGAACCCCTGCAACTGAGTTTCTGGGGTCTTATTAACCCATGAGGGTTGGGCAATTTGTGTGCATGACCCGTAAATAATATACAATCAATCAAATTATGCAAATCAACCAAATATCTCCCTATGGCACATCATTTTTTGAACAATTATACAGTATATTTTGGAGTATTTAATATGAAATTGCTGTTTGAATAAATGGTTGGAATTTTAGTTAGAATGTGTGAGTCTGAATAATTAAAGAGGAAGTTTGATGAAAATAATATAAACAACATAACTTTAGAAAAGCTGGAATAGGCCTATATCTGTGAAAGTGGGAATATGTTGAATGTTCATGAAATGAGAGTTTAAAAATTGAATAAAAGGTTGAATGTGTCGTCAATGAAAGTTTGCAAACGTGATATAACATTTTCCATGCATGGAAATGACTGTTTAAGTAGTGAGTGAAATCTCATAGAGACGGTGGCGCCATCTTGTGTTTTCAATGTAAAAATGATGTTGCTCCTATAGAGATATGTACATTTCTTGAGTGAGTCAGCAAGGAGTCTATTTTCAAACAGAGTCTTTTCAAACAGACTCTTTTCAAACAGACTCTTTTTGTATGTTGAACTAGTTGAGTTGGTGGAGTTAAAAAATAATCAGTTGTTCATTTTTATCTTTTACTACTATTTTCCGCTTGTATAACTCTAGGTAGAGATGTTGTTCTGAATATCAGATCAGGCCATCATTAGTTCCACAAATACAATTTAATATAAACAATCCGTCGTAGGATTCACGAAACGAAATTTAAACGTTTAGTTTTTTTCTGTTTTTTCTCTGGCGGAAATGAGTTTTTAGAGTCCGTTTGTCGATCGCTTTATTTTGAAAGGTGAGACCGGAAGTCTTTATCGCATGCTCGTGGTGTAACTGTCAGGCTGCTCGTCGTGCTCGTGGTGCTGATGTTGTTATTTTCGTAGCATCATTGCCTTTAACTTTAAGCCGCTGACAGATTATTAAGAGGTGTGAAACAATATTAGATCTAGGTGTCGTGGAAAACGGTCTTTGAGGTCCCGAAGAACAAGTTAAACATTTAATTAAAAGTCGTCACAGTGTTTATTAGCCTCTGAATGCTAATGAGGCTAACGTGCTAGCAGCGAGCGCACCGTGTAAGTTTAATTTTCTTTATTGATTAACGTGTTAATAAATCTGTCACCGTGAGATTGATCACACAATGTCATGATTAATGACATTTCAAAGTAACGTTTATTATTAAGTGACATCATCGTTAATAGGTTTTATCGGAGTGTTTCTGCGGACTGTGGAGGGATGAGCACGCCGCTCGGGAGGACCGGGCTGATCGGGCTGGCTGTCGGAGCCACAGCCGGATTGGGCTTGATTGCCTTTTTAATTTACCGGGAGATTAGCCGGAGGAAATCCCAGAGCCTGGTGCTGGAGGCCCGGATGGTTCCCCAGCTGCTGGAGGAGGTGGACGGAGCTGCTCTTCTGCGGGGGGTGCTGGATGATCAGGGTGGGTGGTGCCTGGTGGTACTGACAGCAGCAGAGAAAATAGTCAAATATGTCTTTTTCACATGTTTCCTAAATGATATGCAACTACAGCCAACCAAAGTTAGAAATATACTTTTTGTAGGAAATATATAAAGAATTAAATTATATTTCACTGGCAGTGCGATAATGAAACCTTTTTTGGTGTGGTAGTTTGTTTTGACTTTTTATTTTTTATTTTGGCATGGACAGGAAAATAACAGACAGGCTGACTTTACCAATGATACACCTTTTTGAACTGGTTATGAAGGTTTTTTTAACTGGTTATGAAACAGGCCAAAACCGAAAGTAAAAGTATAACAACATGTATTTTAAATGCAAAATGATGTAATTTCAAATATGTGATTAGAAATACGATTAATTGCTATTAAGTGCTAAAAACGGTGATTTATTGCATTAAAAAAGCTGTTGTTTTGACAGCCTGATTTACCTCACTAAACAGTGTGAACTAGTTATTGTGCAAACCAGAGGATGCTCAGCTGTAATGTTCTGCTTATTACGCTGCACATAGTGCTGAGAGGACTGTAAAGATCACACCATAATCACTCTCATTATCGTGTTCAGCATCATATGTTCTGTAACACTCAGGGTTATTTCATAGCATTTAAACAAGCTGTAACTAAAATGAAAAATGAATGCTGTTACCCCACTTTTTACTAGTGGACAGATGACTGGATGGCGATTGCGTTAGGAAGGTTGTCTTGGCTTAATTTAGGGTAACAAATTAAGTCCAAACCCGTGTTCAATGTGCTGCGTCTCCTTGTCTCGTCCTACAGAGGCGGAGGCCCAGCAGCAGGCTCTGGCGGCGGTGGAGGCGGTGGTGCAGGGTCTGTCCCCAGAGCAGCAGCTGGAGCTGAGGAACCAGCTGGACCAGGTGCTGAACTGTGTGTCCTCACTGCGCTCAGAGGTGGCCGAGCTGAGGGGCGGCCTGCAGGACATCGCTGTGCAGATCATCCAGGATGTCAAGTAAGTTAGAAATAACTCCTCGTTCACTTTTTATCCAGATAGAAATGGTCATTATTTTGTCAGTGGAGTCTGGTACCTGATGGAGCTGTCATTTTTTTTAAATAAAACAATGAATTCAGAACATCACACGGTAATGAACCCATTCAAGCACCCCCCCCTCAATAATCAGGGTGTAGTTATAATGGTGTGAAACTTTAAAGAAAAGCTTTAAAGTTAGATTTGCTCCCAACTTGGCAGTAATCTCACTGATGTGCTTTGATTCCTTCAACAGAAAAGGAGTGGAGGACAGCCAGCGGGTTCGACGCCGCCGCCATTTTGTCCACAGGGAGCGCACGGACTCCACCAGCTCCAGCTCCATCTACTTCACCGCCAGCCAGGGCGCGACCAGCAACTACGAAGAGACCAGTGAAGGAGGGTGAGTGAGGGGCTTGTGTAAAAATTAGTGAGCTTGATTGTTATTTAAAAAAATTTTTTTATAGCATTCTTTGCCAACTGTAACTTTAAAAACAAAAAGAAGGGGGGCTCAGTTTGCTTCTTTGATTCCTGAATTCAGACTCAATATAATCCTTTACGGTTCAGACTGAATCCAGGTTCAACACAACAGGCTCTTAACAAGCTTCACAAGTGAATTCATGTTGATCTGAAAGACATTGATAGACAGATAAATGTGGCGTAGCTCGAGCTCACTGACTGACTGACAGTCATTCATTCTGACCGACTGTGTAGAACAAAATCAAGAACATCATATGTGTATATAATAGTCATATCATAATATTCATTGAATATACCATGGCGGCCTGCCCGAATATCGTCTGTGTGGGAAACACTGATGTGACTGGCAATGAATCACTTCAGTTTACGATGTTTCCCTTTTTAAATACATTTTTGGAATATTTTTCTTTTCAAGTAGGACCTAAAAGAGCACATAGGCGAGTATTTTTTAAAACTGAGGTTTTCCTCCTCCTTTTAATAAAATAATCCTGTCAAAATGATCTACTTCCACATGAAAATGCAAAACGAGAGTTACGTATGTAACTACTGGATGACCGCCAGAGTTCTCCGTCACTCTGAATCTTGGCGAGAAGATTCTGTAGGGGCGTCTCACGTGACGACGCGGGTTATTTAAGCTACGTCAGGCGTCACCTCAGGTCACGTGACTTTGTTGATACTAAATACTCAACCTGCGAGTGCATGAGACAGATATAAACCAGTGTTAAGAACTGCCTCTGGCGGTCAGGAAGAATGAAATAGAACTCACTGTTACGACTGTCATGAGCACGCCAACTCAAAAACGAAGTCCTTGACATGCAAACATGTCCTCGCCATTCCTCTGCAATGACCACTTAATTTGACAAAGTTGTCCATTCAGGCACCTCTGCCGGTCAACATAGTGGGAGCACTAGTTTGGTTATGTCTGCTATCGCACTACACTTAACTCATGTAGACCAAAGTGACAGTGTTGCACAATGAAGTCAAACGGAGGAGAAACCTGCGTTCAGTGTGACGTTACTAAATCAACACTCAGTTTTCCTGTCTACACAGAAACACTTTAAACAGAGTTTCTGAAAATCTTCACCCCGGAGGGAGTTTTTCCAAAAGGTCAGTTTTTAGTGACCTAAAATGCCATTTGTGTATGAGGCCAAAATGCACAGAAATACCTCAGTTTAAAAAAAAAAAATCCTCCGATGTGTGGACTAGTCCTTAAAAGAGCAAACCACGGCTCAGGAGGCTCTCGTTGATGGCATTTGTTTTTTAATTCTTACTATAGAGATATGCCCAGAGTTAAATTCATATATAAAGGAAAACAAATAAAAGGCTTGAGTAGAGTCTAACAGTGTGCTGTTAGTGTTTTCATCTTATTTGAATAAAGTGACCCTTTAAATTTAGAGAAAGCTCAAAGACATAGTGGTGATAAATCGATATAAAGTGAAATTCAAAGGTTGGTTTCTAATCATCTAAATAAATAAACACCTGGTGATTCTCCGTGTGTCTCTCAGATACTCGACGGCCTACGCTGAGTCCGACTACACAGATCGGGACACGGACAGAGAGGAGCCTGAGCCCGAGCCTGAACCGGAGTCTGAGGAAGAGGAGGACAGGAGCTGTGCCACCGTCCTCACCCTCCGCCAGGAAGACTCCCAGGAGGAGGTGGAGGAGAGGGGGCTAGAGGAGGAGGAGGAGGAGGAGGAGGATGAAGGTGAAGGAGAGGAGGCCAGGCTGCAGCTGGTGACGGATGCTCCCAGTGGAGAGCTGGCTCTCCTGCTGGCTCAGAGCGACATCCTCCACACGGGAGACGCACGTCTGAAGGCCGAAGGTTTTCAACTGCTGCTGGACAACAGAGCTGAGGTGAGGGACTCAATCTGCAGCTCACCAGATGTTTACTGACTGACACTGATGATAAACAGATCAGAGAAGGTTTACTGCTTGTATTGCACTTAAGATCCAGTAGTGAGAACAAAAGGCAACACACAATGAAAATACAAACACATGTTGGATGATTACACAGAGTGGCGTGCCTCGACTCTTTCTGTGTCTCTCTTTCTGTGTCTGCCCTGTCTTCATCTACTTAACTGATCTTTGTTTCTTTCTGACTCTGTGCCGCAGTACGGAGACAGCAGGGAGTTTCTGTGGCGCTTGGCTCGAGCTTACAGTGACATGTACGAGTCCACTGACGACAAACAAGAGAAGAAGAACTACGCACAGCGAGGTGATGCACCAATAGAACAGTTTAGAGCAGATATCACAGCAGTTGGGTGCCCATTGTGGCAGAAAAACAGGGAAAGCATGAGCAGAGAAACCCAGAGAAACAGAACTTATAGTGGTTTCTATGTTTATAATGTACATTAAACATTTCATAAGATAAATAACAGAGTGAAGTGGCCATAAAATGGCAGGTCTGCATCAGTCTGTTGTTATTTGACTTGTTTTTAATAGTCGATAAAGTAGACGGCTGTGTTATATTGTTTGTGTCATTGAGCTGAGAGCTGGTGTTGCAGGTCGTCAGGAGGCGGAGTTAGCTCTGAAGAAGAACGGCCTGAACGCTGAGTGTCACAAATGGTAAGATGATGGAATCAAAGCCTCAACCTAAAAACACTCTGAGTTTCCTCTTTGTGTACATACTGTTTCCACATTCATCAACAGTTATTGTGTTTCTGTATGCAGGCTGGCTGTGCTGTCAGGACTGACCTCCCAACACGAGAGCATGCACAGCAAACTGAAGAGCAGCCACATTTTAAAGGTAACACCTTTGTGTTTTAGATAACGTGCACATTAAGTATCTGGATCCTCACTGTTGTTTACAGCATGTGACTGTGTTTGTTTTCTGCCCTCAGGAGCATCTGGACCGAGCCATCGCCCTCAGAGATGATGACCCCATGTGCTTCTACCTGCTCGGCCGCTGGTGCTACGAGGTGGGGTCAGAAGCTGTGTGCTCTTATTTGTTATTTTAGACACAAAATGACACGTAAACAGTGCAAACCTAGAGTGCGTAGAGTTTAATCACTTTACATAACAAGTTCAAGAACTTGTGGTGTTAACATGTGAACACATGTTAGACTAGAATCATGGTTTCTGATGAATGCATCTTATTTGTGCATCGACTGATGTTTATTATTTTACCTGGGCCGCAGTCATTTAGAAATCTGAAAAAAAATCAGATGAGTGTAGCTCACTGTGGGCTTAGCTCTAATAAACGGCAACATCACGTTGCAGAAAAGGCATTTCCAGCTACGGGAAACAATTGGAAACGTATTAGGAAAATGACAACCTGTAGACTGTTCACCACAGACTTGAATGGGTCAGCATTTTGATCCTTCCCTCATCTTAACTTCCAATTATATTTAATTTCATTACCAAAAGGCAAAACTCAGTTTCTTCATTGCTCCAGAAATAAGACTCTCTTGTTGCCACCACCATGTTTGTTTTGCTGATAAGTCACTTGGCTCAGGCGGCGGCAGTGCAGGTAGTCAGCAGCTGACAGATACCGGGGTAAGATGTTTACATGCCACAGTATCCTGTTTTCGGGTCCAGATAGCAAAATGGACTCCTCAAAGTCAGGTAAGTAAGGGCTTTTCCCAGTTTAGGAAATTGGGATGTGATGTTTACATGCACAAATACAAAAACTGGATTCTTAAGAAACGGGAGACTCAAGTCCATGTAAACACAATCACTGTTTAAACTGCTTTTTGAAAACCACACCTGTCGCACATCAGTTCAGCTTTTGAAGTGTGTGTGCGTGTGTGTGTGTGTGCGTGTGCGTGTGTGTGTGTGTGTGTGTGTGTGCGCAGGTAGCCACTCTGGATTGGTTGGAGAAGAAGGCAGCAGCTGCTCTCTACCAGAGCCCCCCCACCTCCACACTGCATGACGCCCTCGAGAACTTCCTCAAGGTACCACGCTGCTGCTGATGACGTCTGAACGTCACCTAACAGATTTAATGTCTGCAGGCGTGCTGATCCATTCATCGAGTCTCAGTTCATCTATGTTGTGTTGTGCTTGTTTTGTTCGTAGCTTTGGTCATGTGTTGTAAATGTTTCAAAGTGTTTTGTTTTATTTGAGTTCATCATCACCACCACCGCTAACCGCATGCTATTTGTCCCTTTATCCACACCTTGGTTAATCCACCGCAGTGTCTCCCTGTAGTCACAGTGATGGAAAAGAACGACACTGCTGCATCTTTGAATGGCTCATTTAACTTGTGCAACGTTTTACACATAAATACAGCAGAAAGTATATCGAGTCGAAAGTAATAATCTGTCCCTTGCTCTCCCAGGGGATTCAAAATCATTTAGAAAATCCTAAAAATAATTTCAATTCATATCAAATGTTTGGTATTTACGTGGTATTCTTTCCTTTTTTATGACAGTAAAGACTGTTTAGGGCAGCCCTTACCCACAATGCCTGGAGAAAGATGTTTACACGGTTTTCATGGATCCTTTTTTACTGAAATGTTGGAACATCATATCATAAATGTCTTCTTTGTTCTGTGAACTTGTAGGCAGAAGAACTCAGTCCAGGTTTCTCCAAGACTGTGAGACTCTACATCGCAAAGGTAAACAAACAGATCACACAGTCATTCAAATAAAGGTAAACAAACAACATCTGTGTAGTGATGCTCTGAGAACGACTGCAGGTCCAGAGAGTGGATGTGTCGTCTAATTTGGAAATGTGTTTAATGAACAGCGTGGTGTTAAACATGACTCACTCAGATGAAGATGAAACTTTTGAAAGCATTCCATGATGGCACCTCTCCAGATACCAAACCAATTTACAGACTTGGTCCAGGCCGTAACTCGAATCAGCGATTTCAGTTCCCAACCCATGACCCTACAGACTGAGCTACTGCCACCCCAAGCTGAGGCGGGTTTAAGCCTCCTGACAAACTGTTACATCACGCCCACCTGTCAATCATGACAGTTACACACCTAACTATAGATAACACGTATCATTCAGAAAATCAAAACAGAGCCGTTTTAAAAATAATTCCCCGCTGTACAGTGTGAGCCAGTGATGACAATAACTAACTAATCAGAAATATCTTGTTTTTTGGACCAGGCTGTAACTATGTTAATTTGTGGTGTAAAAACTGCTTTTTTGCCTGTGGGTTTTATATGTGACTTTTGGGGTTCCTGTAGTCAGTCTCAAGCGGACAATCAACAAATTTAGTTTTTTTGCACCACTTCATGGGTTTAATTTTTCAAGACTGGAGGATTGCCGCTTGTTCATAATATATTCAAGTACAAATGCTCTTAAATCTTATAAATCAAAGTGAATCATCAGATTCAGACACTTTTGAAGTATCTGAAGTTCTCCAGGTGATGAATATCTTTAGATATTTACGGAAAATAAAAAGTATTTAGGAGTGTGTGATGTTGTGATCTTAAGGAAACTGTATAAACTGTAATGGATGTTGTTTGACCTGCAGTGTCATCAGGAGCTGGGAAACATCTCCGAGGCAACAAACTGGACCGAGCTCGCTCTGAAGATGAACACCAGCAGTGATGATGTAAGAACCGAGCGTGTCCATCTCTGCTTTACAACAAGCTTTGATCCAGTTCCATTCTTTAGAGCCACGATCGGATTCATTATAGTTTGTCATTTCAGACAATCATGTCCTGTTTTATTAGTTTTTAAAGAGAAAAGACCGACTGTACAAACAAATGTTCTGACATGATGTGAAGTCTTTATCACACACATCTGTTCAGCTGTCTCTTCTGTCGGCTACATCTCACTTTGTGGGTTTAAAGCTCTGCAACACATTAAGAATTTAATTCAACCAAGAGACAAAAATGTAAGCTAATTTAACTTTAAGGAAATGAAACAATGAAAATACATTAAGAGAACGTGTTTCTCCTTTCATAGTTTCTCTGATGAATAGCACATGATGTTCAGCCATAGGTCTCACTCTACATCAGGCAGTTCTTGCTTAACATTGTTTTTTTTAAGTATTGGAAGTAGTTCAGTAATCTGAAACAAGTATAGCCTCTGAAAATAACTCTGTGAGTCATGACTGTCTACAATGGGTGTAACACCTGAGTCCCACTGTCTGTGATGTTTTCAGAGTCCCGTCACGCCCAACAACACTGTTTGTTTGTTAGCCATCGGGCCGTAGACGCAGTGACTTCAGCGAGTTGTGGACAGAGAAGGTGTAGCACAAGTTTCTCTTTGCCGTCTCAACAGATGAGATTCTATTTAAAGTCAACATAACTCATTTCCTCCTTGTGAGCTCATTCATGCTAACTAACAAGCCTCCTAAACTCACGTTACTCTCCTGAGAGGTGAAGGTCAAACTCTTAAGTCTCGCAAGATTTTAGAAACGAAACACAGAATGCATGACAGGAAGCTAAACTTCAGTGAGCAGGTTCATAACTTTGAGTCCGTGCCAGCGACCGCTTCATTGAATGTTTTTCTGATCCAGGCCTCTGCGGACTGAAATACTGCGATCTTTAACGTCCAGATCGTTCATTGATTCAGATCGTTTTTATCTTTACGCCTCCTCATTCTTTCTGTGATGTTGACAAACACGTTAGTACTGGTCAGTCGTTTAGACCCAGCAACATTCCCAGCAGGATAGCCTTTACATTCTGCTCCAGCCTCATGATATCCTCCCAGTAGAAACCACTAACAGAGTTCAGAAAGGACAAGAGGTTTATGTTTAACTCTTCATTTAAACTTTGTTTTTCAGGATGAAGAAACGTCCAAACTGGAGGCTCAGCTTCGAGTCTTAAGAAAAATCTAAACTCTTTCCTCTAAGATCCAGCAGACGTCACGATTGGCTCGTCAGACTGCTGCTCATCCAATCAGACACCTTAATTATTTTTGTCACCTGTCACCGGTGGACATCCGTCATACTGTCACTGTGAAAACACGTAGAGTTTAGTGATGTTTATTTTTTTGCAAAGTTTAATTGAATCCCTTTCACAGATTAATATATATTGTATTGAATATGGTATTTATCTATTATTTAATGTTTTTTTAACAACTTGTTTGCCTTTTTTTAACTGATGAAGTTTAAGCACTATCACCTCAGTTCAATGGAGTTAAAGGAGCAGTTCACTGAATCACAGACCCACAGGTCAAACATTTTCTTTCACGTTTTATTTCACAGAACAGTCTCAAGAGATGTTCATTTTAGAATCTGGACAAATTAATGAATCTGCAGCGATAGATTGAAGTATTTACCTTAACGTTATTCTCTTATTGTGGATTTGTTGGTGCCTCAGAGCATTGGGGGTCCTGCAGAAGAACTAGATGACTTTGAGAACATGAGCTCAGGATGCTATGAATAGAAATTTCTTTTTGAATTTTAAAAAAGGGAGGAGAGTTGTCATGAAGGGAGTTTATAAGGAACCCCTGAAGCTCAGGTAGGAACATATAAAAAGCTCTTTGTTAATCTGTTCACACAGTTAACAATGTAAGATTTTTAATCTTACATGTGTGCTCTGTGGAAACATATTTACAAATGGCTATCTGACCTGAGCCTCACCGGGATCTTAAGTTTTACAAATCTGGATATTTGGTCCAGCTTGATCAGGGACTTAATTATTATTATTATTTACATAACAGTGGATAGAGTCAGAAATCAGGGAGAGAGGGGAATGACATGGGGGGGGGGGGGGAGCCTGGGGTCAGATTTGAACCTGGGCCGTCCACTATAGCCTCTGTACATGGGGCTCGCACTAACCACTAGGCTACCCGCGCCCCGGGGACTTTTTAAAGCTTTAAGGGAAACAGTAACAAGTATACATGAATCTAATGAACTTTACTCTTTGTGAATTAGAGGTTTTCTTTTTCTTCTGGGTCCACGTTATGTTTTGATATTTGTGTGTGTTGTGGAGACGTATTGATACTGTCGTATTCTGGTCTTAATTTTTTTCTTTTAATAAGTGCTCTGACCTTAAATCACATAACGATCCCCAGTAACAAAGCGGCTGTTTGACAAGCAGAGTGTAAGCACTTAAACTGATGATTCAGAGTGTGGAGCGATCACTGTTTAAGTTTCCTTTAAAGTTTTTACTGCCTTTGAATTTTGAGTGATTCTGTTATTTATTTTTTTATTTTAGTGAGGTGAACTTTTGTTTTTTTATTTGTGATCTTACACTTTGTTTTCTAATCTTTTGTTTATTAATTCTTGTTGAGATCACTTTGCAGCCTGTGAGCTAACGTGATGTTTAATATGCAGCCTGAGAGGTCAAAGTGCAAATAACTGACAGTGGAGAACTCTGAATAAAAAGATTTGTTTTATATTTATGATTCCGAGTGTGATGTGTTTGACAAACTCTGCTCTTCATACCTCCTGTAATATATAAATGTTGGAACTGATTTTTACGTTTGGAGATTTTCCCTTCATGACATCACAAAGGGCAGTAACCCCTCCCCCAGGTGGGTGACACTCCCACAGCTAGGTGTCTGTTCTGCCCTCTGAGTCTGCCTTCTCACCCTAAACAATAGGGCATGGAGCAAGAAAGCTTAAGCCACCCAAGACCTTCCAGAGAGGGGGCGTGGTCAGACACAGCTCATTTACATATTTAAAGGTACAGACACAGAAACAGCCTGTTCTGAGCAGGGCTGAAATAGAGGGGTTTATAGACCATGATCAAATACAGGATCAGAGTGGATTTAGAACAAGAAACTTCACAGACATGTTTTGGGGAGTTGAGACTTATTCAAACTGGTTGAAAAGGAGGATAAAATGTGACCTTTAAGTTCCTGAGGTCATCTTTTCCAGTTGGAAATCACAGATAAATCCGTAAAAGAATAACATCCCAGAAGCAGACAAAGAAGAAAAGCCAATCTAATAGCAAAAGAAATTTAATTTAGCTATCATAAGTGTATTTACACAGAAAGTTTTCATAACGAAACAGAAAGCAGACAAACCAGCAGTGGTAATAAAAAAAATAAAATCCTGCCTTCTTGTGCTACTTCTGTAATCAGAATGTATCAGAGAGAATAACACTGGAGACATGTAAGAAAACTACATTCTGGTCTTTCCTCTTATTCTCAGAGTTTCCACAGTCAACATTTCACTGCCAGAGATCCAAATAATAAACAAGGACAACAGAAACATCAAAAAGACAAAAAAAAAACAACTTATAATAGTTATAATAGTTTACAAATGATTTTCTCCCCTCTCCTTTGAAAAACGACCGCTACAAACTGCATTCAGCTAAGAAGAAAAAGATGCTCTGCAGTAATGAAGTTTCTCATCGCTATGACATCTTTGTTGGTTTGTTTAGTTTTATAAAGAAGTTATTCACTGTGAGAGAGGTTTATTGTGATATGAGTCTTTAGTTACGATAACTGTCTGATTATTTTTATTCTAAAGTAGTTCCACAAACACTGATGAAAGTAAATTTTGTTATAATGAGACTCTAGGTCTCTGAAGTATTTCTCTTCAGTCGAGTGCAGTTTGTCGTGTCTTTGCTGAAAACTAAACGTTCCTTCTTCTTCTGAGCTCCATCAGAATCTGATCTGGACCACCTCCTCTAAATCAGCATCAAACCAGATCCTGCACCCCCCCCCCGTCCCATCAGTCTGAGGCTTCGTGTGAAGGTGGTAGCACAGGCGAGGATTTCAAACACAAAACACTTGAGTCCATTAAGTGGGACTGAGACCAACACCCCCGGCTGCTTCCTGCCCCTCAGTCTTTGGCGTCGCCGACTCCATCAGCGTTGATGGCGAACATGGCTTCAGCCTCTGGCAGGCAGGGCGAGTCGTAGATCTTACAGATCCTCGTCTCTCCTCGACCTTTCCTCAGGTACAGACTGAAGACAAGAACAACTTTCAGACTCTTTGATTCATGAAAACAAAGTCATGTAGCTGTAGAGGTCGCTGGCTGCAGTACAGGACGTAAGCTCCGCCTCCTCCATATTAACAGAAATGGCTCAACTTTAAAGTCTAAATGCAGGTGAAATTACATTTTCTCAAACATGGATTCTGTTCTTAAAGTAAGTTCTTATCATGCTAAATTATATCCAAATATTAATTTTCTGGAAAATCTGACAACACGCACTTTTGTCTGGTTTTTCATGTAAGTTGGCTGCGTCTGGTATACCGGTGAGACTAATCTACCAGAGTAAAATACTGAGGCGCACACCGTCGTTACTGTGAGTGCAGTCCTCCACATCACACACGTGAAGCAATTGTAAATTCACTCCCACTCATTGTGTATTGGAAGAAGTGCTGGGAAACATAACGAGGCCTCTTTTAACTATCTTTTTAGCAAACAGGTCAGTAAATAAAGCCTGTGGAGCGCTGGTTTGTTGAAACAGTTGTCAATTAAAGACGAGTGACCAGCAGACATGTGCAGAGACTTGAAGGACCAGGGTCTGTGCTTTACAACTTTCACTACAGGCTGAGAGCTCAGCTACCATACTGTAGCTAGTAGGAGTGCAGACGCCACAAAGCGAAAAACAGATGGTACTTAAAGAGCGACAGAGCTGCACAGAAACTGACCGTTGCAGACTTTGATGAACCCAATAGAAAATGTGCAGCAGGGAAACCGTTAAGATCTTTTTTTTTTTTTTCTGTCTGAGAGACTGCTTCTTCTATATCGGATAAGACGGTAGTTATCTGATTCTATAAAAAGGGGTATAACAGCATGATTGACAGCTCTGTTGACAAATGAGGCTCCTGCAGCGCTGTGTTTATTATCAGAGAGGAGGAACGGTAAGAGGAAATATAACGAACAGTCATTCAACTTCCCACAACTGTGAGCGTTTGCTACAAACGGACACAACAATCTGTTCTGCTGAGGATTATGCCCACCTCAGGGACCTTTGACCTTTTAGCAGGAAGTTAAATGTGTTTTTTTAGTAATAAGGAAAGGGTGGGACATCAATACAGTGGCTCCACTCTCCAAACTATGGGTCAAATTGAGCAACATGTCAGCACCCATTATTATTATTGGATTATTTTGGCTTCACTTTAGTGGAACAGGAGGAGATGCGTTGTCCATTTTTATAAAACAGACAACAGTTGTACAAAATCTCCTTTTCTTTGCAATCAAGCCTCATGAAAGGGGAAATATGGCATTTTAAACCTGGGCACTATTTTTAAAGGGGTCTAAATGACTTTAAGTAACCACAACTTTAGGTATTGCTCTCATAGATTTCTCCAGCCTGCAGCAGTGAAACAGACTGTAAAGGCTGCACCGGACTGAATGGACAAAACAGTTTTTACATCACAGAAAACGGAGGCTGCTGGTGTTTTTGGTTTCGTCTGTGAGTCATAGCTTATGAACTGCCGACCTGAAGTGAGAGAAAGGCCATCTCACTTGCTACCTCCAGGCGATTAAAAGAAAAGATGGAAAATTAACAAGCCTGTGAGCCCTCCAAAACTTATTCAATGGTGGGCTTAGCTTTCCTAAAAAAAAAAGCCTTCCAGGTGTCTATCTGGTCACTATGCATTGTGTGTTACATAAATATTGTGTTGGGTCCAAAAACACGATTAACAACACCAAAGTGGTAGACCAACAACTCTTGTCTTTGTCTTTGAGGGTAAAATGACTGTTAGAGTCTGGCGGCTTTAAAGAGAGCATTCTGACGCTGTTTCTGTTCAGCAAAGTACTGTAGTCAATCTGAGCCTGTCAGCTTTTAGTGGATGGACTCTTGGCCAGGTGAGAAGACCTGAATACAATCAAATCTGCATCACTCACCGTGTGGTCGAGGCATGAGCCATAATGTTGCCTCCGATGGGTTTCTTAGGATCCGCAGAAAACATGGCCGCCCCGTCCACCTGTGCTACTACCTGGTTGGTTATCACCACGGCAACACCGAACTGTTGTCATGTTTGATTGAGGCAAAAAAAAAGCAATCATGTGTGAGTGACTTCAGAGTCAGTCTGGACGGTGTGGATTCAGGTTAAATAACATTTGAAGATGAACAACAAATAAAAACAAGAAAAGGTTAACCATTACCTCGTCTGCCAGTCTGAGCAGCATGCGGAGGAAACGTCCCAGGTGTCCCTGTCTGGCCGACAGCTCCCCTCTACCCGAGTAATCTGTTCTGTAGAGAGCTGTGGCACTGTCCACGATCAGCAGGGCATACCTGACACACACACACACAGAGACACAAACACACACTGTTACGGGCTGTGTTATGGTTGTTTTGTTTTCACTAACCTTTCTCTTTCTTCCTCTCGTGCTCTTTGGTGCATTTATTTAGCAAAAAAGATTAGATGTCCAAGCCCCCATCTAAAAGGGTCTGGACCTCCATCTAAAGTGTCAGGGCCCCCCACCTTAAAACTTTTAGAAGCTTATCCGGGGTGTCCTTTTCATGCTCTTTGTCGTATTGTGGTTGTACTTGTTGGATTAATGTGTTTATGACGTATGAATTAAAAATCAAATCAAATAAATAAAAAGAAAAAGGAACAATTGAAATTGCTCAACACAACTAATATAACATGTGGTTTATCTAAATTCAACACTTTTAACGACTTCTGTAGTCTCCAAAATACTCAACCCCCTGAATAGAATCCCTCATACAAGCACACATTTACAAACCAGGTGTTGTCTCAAGCACACCTGATGCAAGAGAAATCATCTCGAGCCAATGGGAGGGGGTGATGGCGTTTACATCCTGTGACTGGAGTCAGTGCAAAGACTGAATGCACGCGACCG